AAGTAAATTAATATTTTCGTGAGTGCAAAATAAATGCCACCAAATGCATTGTTTTGCGATATAACTTTGTATTTTCGGAGAAGGCATGTCACATAAGTACGGTATTTAAATAATGCGCAAATAATTAATATTTAATCTAAATTTATCGCAAATAATGTTATAACATTTAGGCCGCGAAATGATTTAATGTAAAATGAAGCATGGTAATCGGAATATCGTCAATAAGTCGGCATCAATAATTATTATAAAATGCTAACTAGGTAGTGAAGTCGGATAATGTAAAAAAAAACGGTACAATAACAAGTCTTCGTCGTGAGGCAAGTATAATCAAACGAGAGAATACGCTCGTCGTTGATTTATAAATTAGAAACCCGGAATTTTTATTTAATACGAAACTCGTAATACGAAACTCGTATTAATACGTTAATACGATTTTAAAAAAGTCAACTATCGTTTCATAAATATATTACCACATACCAGTGTTGGTAATGATAAAATTGATCGCATAAAATTGGGTGATAAAGTTGATAAAGGAAAATCAAAGCTAACACAAAAGATAAAAATCAGAATAAAATTAATTTGAATTCACTCCTTGATATTTGTCTTTAGCATATGTCGCCGGCGTGTAGTACTGGCGGAAATATGAAAACCAAACTGTCCCAACTGTCGATGTCCCATTCGGAATAGAAGTGGATTAAATTGGTTGTTATGATAGGTTTAAAAGTGTGACAAAAATATCGCAATTACGGGGTCATTACGTAATCGATTTGGCCGTAATTACGGAATTGATTTTTGTCAATTACGTGCAAGCCTAAATTATAAAATAATATATATAATATAAATAAGTTCATATTCCATTTTGCATCCATGATCCAGTATTTATTTTGTTCAATTCCAGTAGTAATCCATACCATAATTAGGTTATTTTAATTAATGCATTGATATAAAACAATAAAAATAAAATTAGTAAATATAAAATAGATATCATAAACATTTAATTTTCTTTTTAAAATAATGCTTTACCTAAATTTGTCAATTGCCTCTCAAATGGGTTGTTTATTCTATAATTCTCTATATTTTTCTACATATTCTGGCCATTTTTATCTGCTTTTTGAGAAAGGCAAAATGTGGTGTTTTATTTTCGAATATAATTGAATTTCTCATGGTCAAAATTTTATATCTTACTATTAGGGCTGGGCATTTCGAATCGAATATTCGAATCGAATAGTGAAATATTCGAATAGGTTCAGAGCTTAATTTCGAATCGCCGCCATCTTGTTTTTTTCTTTCCGCCAATGGTCGAGGTGAATTCTCAAATTTTTTTTTAATTGAAGCCATATATTTTCAACCCGATTCTAACATGACTATTTTCTGTAATGAGTTATTGATAAAACGTGTTTGTTATTAGGTGTGAACGCTCAGTAATCTATCTGAGTTATGTATACTATTTCTTCAGTAACTCATTTGTTAAGAAGACCAATTACTTTAAAAAAGTAGCTTACAGTTATATATTTCCAAGTATTCGAGATTCGATTCGATTCGAAAAAATTATTCGATTCGATTCTGAAATCACAAGGTATTCGAAAATGCCCAGCCCTACTTACTATTGATTAAAAAAGTATAATTGCATCCAAATCAACAGTATCTATACGACTATATAAAGGATCGTTAAAATTAAATAATATGCAAGAATCATATTGATAACAAAATGTATTCTAATCAATTTTAATATATCTAAAACAAAATCTTCATAAATATTTTTTGTAAATTTACAATACATGAAAATATGTGAAACAAACTCAGGTTCTCCATTACATAATACACACATTTCATTCCCTGCTATTCTTCCAATTCCTGGATTTTGTTTTCAATGGCAAGATATCCCAGGGTAATTTATAGTTAAAATCAGTATTTTTAATAAGTAAACGAATAACTCGCAGAGCCATGTGATTCATATGGAGGACAGAGCTATGATTGAGAGAGGCCGTGGTTCGCCATATATTTAGGCTTTCTTTTCGGCTTTCTTCTCCCCTTGGATAAATATGTAAATCCCATGTTATATCAATTAATAAATACATAAATAACCGCACTCCTCTCGGCGACTGGTTCATATTCTGTTCTGTAGATACGTTTTCTGTCTAAACCAAATATGTACTGAAGAATTAAAGACCTCAATACGGCCAATTTCGCACCCGACTCGGCTGAAGCAAGGGATCTTGGCAGCGAGCAATGCGTTTTCTTAATATGCAACGAACCATTTAGCTGGACGACGTAAAAAATGCCGGGAACAATGCCATAATGAGCAAATCTTTGCAAGTTTCCACTCATTGTATATATGCTCATTGCCTGTGGTAATGATTTATGTTGTTTACATCAGAACTGTAACGAAAAGATGAGAGCGTAATTCACAAAGGTACCGTACGGTACCTTACCAGTAGGCCTACCTGTTGCTGTACTGTCGGCCTGTTAATCTATCGTGGAACGGTTCTTCTCTGGCATATAAAAACGCAATTCCATTTGCTCTTATCAAAATTGGTCCAGTATTCGAAGAGAATAGCGATTTTATAATAGTGATGGTGACGAAAAAAAATAAGAAAAATAACAACAACATATTATTGAAACGATCGTTATGTCCACTAAAGTGTCCAAAAATGGTGCTATAACGCCGTCATACGCGTTCTAAATATTCAAGCTGGAATTACGGTGTTTGACATCTGCGAGCTCTTTACGAGAAAACGCAAGTATAATCACGCGAGACAGATTTCGTCACCAGTGAATAAAACTCGTCCCTGATTAATAAATTGACGTACGGCGCCGAAGAGGCGGAAACCGTGTCCTATGGATTCAAATCCTCCGGATTCGGTATTCTATAATCTATATCGCCCCTTTCTACTTGGGAGTATCTGAATTCTTACTTTTGTGCTATAATCCCGGTATAAAATTTTAATTACCATCCAATAAATGCAATCACAGAACAGCAGAAACACTCTGCCCCTACTCCCTGGTACCGACGCAGAGATGATTGGCAGATGCCACGACACCCCACTTTATTCTAATGCATCAGTATATCTTTTCAGTTATTTTAACTAACAAAACCATTCCAAATACGCAAATAAATTCAAACGGAAATCCTCTTCCGTAAGCTTCAAAATGCAGCACACTGATGACGCAGAAACGCATCACTCATGCGTAGCAAACCGGCCGTGAGCGAACTGTATTCAGTAAACTATGATCTTATCGTGGCGGTCCACATCTTAGATTCAGAGTATATTTCTGCATATACGGCAGTGGTGCCGTAGCGGTATTGTTGTAACATACGGTACCGGTACCGGACGGCACGGCGCGGTAAGTTATTAATGTATGTAGGCTATGTAGTATGTTTATTTGCCTCAAAATTGTAACAGTATCTGTATAATAATTAAACAGTACGGTATAACAGAGACAGGGTACATGTTCGATGTTCAAGACCTTCTGATCTCACTGGCCTAAGAGACAGATGTGCGACATGCACCCCAACAAGTAGGCTACCGGTATAACTGCATTTTGGGACTGCTGCGTTATAGTAGGACAACAGACATGAAATATACAAATACAGAAATAACACTCTTGTTAGCTGTTGATTGGCGCTAGATGCTTCCAGTCACTTTTTCAGGTAGTTTTATTTCGATAGTCTTAAGTGTTTAAGTTAATAGTCTTTAAGTCTAGGTAGGAATGTTACGAAACACGCTTTTCTGCATCAAAAAATATATGCATCACGTCTGCTAAGTACCGAACCGTTAAGCCGTGTCGTAATACCATACCTCTCATAAAACTGTAAAAACGACTACGAACTGCCTGCTGTTGTTTGGAATTCCTGCTGTTGTTTGGAATTCCATGAAATTTTAACCTAACTTAGACAAAATACACAACTATGATTTGGTATTTGAATTTTTTCATTAGGGCATAAATTTCCCAACATTTGGAGCTTTCAAAAATTACGCTCAAGTTATACGTACTGCAAATTAATGATATTGTCTATGGACACCAATAAAATTTATATGGACATGTGTATGTCATTCCTAACTAGATACTTGATACAATTTTTATGAAGGTTGTCCAATCAGAACATCGATAATTATTACCCGTGAGGAGGCACTGTCAAACTAATATGCACAACTCCAGCATTGATTTGCGGCGATCGGATTGATATGTGTTCCTTTTTCATATTCATCAAAGTTCTTATTGAAAAAAATCAAGTTGCATACGTATTAGAAACGCTACAAATTAATTCAAGGCACGGGAAATATGATCTTAGCACGAGTCTGTCAACGCGTATCAGTTATCGATTCGATGCCGACATTTTTCCTCGCAGCGATTTCTCTCGTTTTGTGCTTCACTAAGTGCGGTAACTATCTTACGATTTGGGAATTTTAAATGATAATTAATTGTTCATTTATTAAGGTCGGACATGAAAAACGCCATATCAGTTAATTACCGCGTAGGCGCGGACTTGCGTAGTGGGGATTGGGGAAGGTCGTTGCCGACCAGAGGTTATGTAAAGTTCAGAGACTTTCTCAAACATAATTAATTGGAAAGCAGCTAATTTTGTTAAAAAGAATTTGTAAACATTGTTGCATTAGGTTCTTCAATTCCATTATATCTATTCGTTCAGTGTTTATTTGAATCTGATGAAATATTATTTTTTTGTAACACACCTAGTCTATGTATAGTAGGGCTGAAAATCTGAGCTATAAACAGCTGTTGTAAATGGTAACTTAATATTTTTTGTGCTATAGATAGTGAAAGAATTTCCCTCATTATTTACTTTAGATGAACTAAAGACTGAAAGACCCTTAGTCTACTTTCAGACTTAAATGAATAGAAGTGCCAAATGTGTCAAAATCTCAATTTTTTTAATAATAATCAGGTTATTAACACAGATTCATTGCCATCGCAAAATGAGTAAACCACTCCTTGTTTATACAGCTTTCTTACAGTATTACTGTATTAAGCATTCTGACTTATTTACAGTATTTATGTTTATCTTAAGAAATTTATAATTGAATCTTAAAAATTTTAATATACTCAAGTGCTCGATATAAACTAGGCTAATTCGAAAATGAATGGCATGAAAACATTCTCCAGCTTGCCTTATTTTTGCCGAGGAACAGTTATCAAAGGCTTTGGCAGAGGAAGCAAAGAACTTGGTATTCCCACTGCAAATTTTCCAGAATCTGTTGTTGATAATTTACCTCATGATGTCTCTGCTGGAGTGTATTATGGATGGGGACAAATAGGTTCAGGTCCTGTGCATAAAATGGTTATGAGCATTGGATGGAATCCATATTACAACAACACAAAAAAGTCAATGGAAACACATTTAATTCATAAATTCGATAAAGATTTTTATGGCAGTGAACTCGGAGTGGTTATCCTCGGGTATATTCGCCCGGAGACTAATTTTGACTCCCTGGAAAAGCTTGTTAAAGCCATTCGTACAGACATTGAAATCGCAAATCATAAACTAAACCAGGAAGATGCAAGAGAATTTTTACTGCATGACTTTTTCAAACATCCTGTGGGGCAATCATCTACCAATGGTACACATAGTAGTTTATGATGACAGATGTTTGGTCAAACCTATATTCATATAATGATTTCATTGTGAATATCAACATAACGATAGTTCAATATTTTAAAAATTATTTTACACAACTTTTAGTTGTAAATATTCTATATTGATTTATGCTATTGTGAAGCAAAATCATGATATATGCGAAATTTTGCTTGCATTTAATTTTACAAAATTACGATTGTTTTTAAATTAAATTCTTTCGTAAATACACTGGTCAATTTTGACACCAGCGTATAATTCACAGAATGTAATAAAAGTGAATCAATATCTGTATTGCCAATTTATTGATACATTCCTCTTTTAAAATATACCATGTTATGAATTATGTGGTATGGGACTAGTCATTCTTCTTTCCAGGCTATTTGAATTATATCCCTGTGCTTTTCCAAAAATATTAATTGTGTGTTAACTGGAAATATTTGAATTAGAAATATTTGTACTTTCACCATTATTCCTCGAAATGAGTTTAATGCTGTCTATGATGTTATTTCGAATTACTGTGTTTGTATGTATTGGCATGACGGAAGCCTCGAGAATATATGTAATTACGCTAATATGCAATTTGTATACAAAACTTATTTGGGTTAATATAAATTGCAATGATATATAGTATATAATTTAAAATTGAAATTGCTTTATAATTTTTTACTTGCTAGAACAGAGGTTGGCAAACTTTTGTCGCTCGCGGGCCATAATTGAGGGTTGCAAGTCATTGGCGGGCCGCACATATTTTTAGAAAGTTAAAAAACGAATGGATGGCCGATGAATCAAATTTTTCCACACAGATCAGAAGTTAAATTTTAAGCAGCGCACGAAGACTGACCATTTGGATATTTTTTGCGCCGTTAAACCATTTGTCTAATTATAATTAAATTATAGGCTCAATAAACGAGTAATTGTGAATTATATACTTGTTACGTTATAATATAATCTAGTCTACCTAAAGAATATGTTACGTAAAGAATATAATTGTCAAAACAGCTGTTTTGTTACTATAATTCATTGAAGCGTCGCGGGCTGTAGTTTGCCGACCCCTGTGCTAGAATTTAATAAATATTCTCAACTGTTTCATTTGTAAAAAATTCAAACATTTTTTATTATGAATTCGCTATATTTTTGCATTCTAGACATATTATACATCCCCTTAGGCATGCACTACCGTCAACAAACCAGTTTTTTCTTAAAAGGTGGTAACAAGTGATATTAAACTAATTCCTTCCGGCCATATATTTGTGATAGGAATATCATTATTTGTTTACACAAATTATACAATCGTGCTGCTACCAACAACTGCCATGTCGTTGCAGTGTTATAGATCCAATATACCGAATTTACTGTTTTGAATTTCAGCATGATGATAATTTTTTGCACTATTTTTTACTTCCATCACGTTTTTAGTTGGAAATATATTTATTTATGTGTGAATTTGAAATTTAGATAAAAAAAAGATTTGAAAAAATTATTTGAAAACAGTTTTGCTTAAGCATGTAGAAAATATAAATATCAAAATATCAAATCCTGTTGCTATGCTTTTTAATAGTAAAACACAAAAATATTCGGTGAACATACACTACCTCATTTACCAAATACACCCACAGACTAAATTTGGCATTTCCTATTGGCAACCCTTCCTATTTATCATTGAACTATGTTGCATTCTTCTAATTTATGTTCCAATAATAATATAATATGAATATTCATATATGTCAGGGTCCGGCTATATCTTTCAACGATTCGTTCATCATAATTATTGTGAGCATCATAATTTCATATTTATATAATAAAAATAATATAATTTGGAGATTCAGAACTTCTAATTTTTTAATTATATCTTCTTTTTAAAGGTATTTTTAACTATTTATCATTAAAAATGGCTCAAATTGATGATTCGATTGTTTACATGTTTGACTCGAAATTGTTAGAAGGTCTCGATCTTACTCAGTATAATGTTTGTTCCTCTTACTTAAAACCTGGAGATGGGCTGATACTCAGGCCTATGTCAACCAAGGATTTTCAGAAAGGTAGAATTGTGTATTATTGGTTGATTCATCAACTTTTGAAGCACACTCCCTTTTGCAGAAGGACTATAAAAACTGTAGTTCAGTTGGGATGACAATCTCACTCATTCAAATTGGAATAGTTTGATATGTTTTTTTTTACTCATATTCTTTGTCAGAAGCTGAGATTGCCTCTATAGCACTTCCATCTCTGATGTTTTAAACCTCATTTGAATTTTTTTTTATAAAAAAGGTTTATGCATTTAGGCTTCAGCAATGAAGATATATATTCTTTGTATATTCAGATACAATCCAGGCTCTTAAAGGTCACTCAGCAAATAAGAAATCAGTTTATGACTAAAGTTTATGCTATCATCTTTCAATATGTGATATTACCGTAATCAGTTATTTATTCCGAACCACACCCTAGTAAATAATGATATGAAACTATTTCATAATCGAACGCAAAAGGAATTCAATAATTAAAAACTTTTGAATTTATTCGTAGTATGTTATTCAGTTTTGGCCATCACTATATTCACACATTATATTTATCTTGTTTGTCAGTCATCAACTAAATTTCACAGTGTGATTCTTATTTCATGTACTTTATTATTTTTGCAGGTTTCATTGATGTTGTCAATCAATTAACACTCGCAGGAGATGTCACTGAAGAAAAATTTCAAGGTGTCATTTTTCACACTGATAATATTTTCATTAACGTTTATGTAGGATTTTGTTGTATCATTTTTTCAACTTTTTTGTGTAAACTGTGGTGTTAATATTTAAAGAAATGCCTCATTTTTCAATTTCATAATTATGGATTTCTCAAATATCATTTCCCAATTATGATCAATTACAACTTACATCAGTTTCACTCATGGGTAATGACCTCTGTAGATAATTTCATCTGGACAAAATTCAACTCTAACCCCAACATCCACAAAGACATTTTTATATTTATTCGGTGCCCAGCAATCATTGGTCTGATGCCTTCTTTAAATTTCTTTCATCTTAAAAAAATATTCATCTCCATTTTTGTCCCTATTTGAAAACTTCTTTCCATTTTTCAGACAGATTTAATAGTATGAAGAAAGCTGGTTGTTATTATCCGTTAGTTGTTGAAGATACCGAAGCAGATTCGGGCCGGGGAAGAATTGTTGCAACTGGGACTCTAATTGTGGAAGAGAAATTCATTCATACTTGTGCTTTGGTACAGTATTTTTTTTTAATATTAATCATAATTGGGGACTAATTAAAATAACTTTCGGTCTATAAGTAGGAGATGAAATGAAAACTGCCATTTAATGCTATTCAGGAATGCCAATGAATTGAATTTTTGATTGCATTCAAAATTTCTTACAATCATGCAAATAAAAAGAAATTAAGTGAAGATTATTATTCTCTAGGAATTTTGTTATTATATCCGCATTTTTATGTTGAACGTTTATATTTTAGAGGGGAAGAGTGGAGGAAGTTGTAGTTGATAGTAAATACAGAGGACAAAAGTTGGGAAAAATGTAAGTATGGCTTGTTCCAGAAGAAAGTAATGAGTTTCATATGATAGCTTTGAAGTTACTATTTTTCCAAAATGAGTATTAGGGGATATAAACATTAAATCAATTCATTTTTATCAGAATTCTGGCTGTTGTCACTGCACTGAGTAAGAAACTAACTTGCTACAAAACAACACTGGAATGCAAAGTGGAAAACATCGGGTTTTATCAAATATTTGGCTACGTTCCTGACGAAGAAAAGTTCATGCAGTGTAGATTCAGACAATGAATGCTGTAAAATGATATGTTCACCTCAGATTAGCAAATCTATTGTAGGCAATTATAATCCTATATTTCCTAAATGTTATTAATTTCTACCTATTTATTGGCAGTGCAATTTAATGCAGTACAAAGCGATCGTTTACCAGCGAAATTATATATAGATTGTAGATTGCTGGATTACATATAGATTGTAGATTGTCTCAGCCCTTTGAAATTTGAATGTTTCAGTAATTCTGTTTCAAGAGCTATTAATAGTTAAATTGAAATTGTTTAATTTTCTATTGTTGTCGAAGTAGTGCTTGATACAGTAAAGCACGAGAAAGAAACAGACATTGAAGCATTTTTGCATATGAATATTTGTGATGTGTGCTATTTTTTCTTAAACATACACTGTCTTGTGAGATAAATGTGAACCAAATATGTCTCTTTTGAACAATGCAATCTGTTACCTAACAACGAAGCCAAAATGGAACAAAAACTAGTATACCGTGACCCGTATATAAACGTCACTTACGTTAGTATGGTCATTATGTTTGTAAAGTTTGTTTGTAACCTTTAACTCAGATAAGCTTCAGATTTTTGAATTCCCTGACGATTTTTTGTTCCATATTTTGATTTCTTCATTTTTTTTGTGATTAATTGCCTTCTAATTATATCATGACCAACTTTGGAGTTCAATCACATTCTTTGCCATATTGCTGCTTGTGTTTTTGCACGTGTTTGTTATTTTTGAAAGTAGGAAATTCATGTACACAATTTAGTATATGCATAATAATTAGTATTCGCAATATCATTGTGTCGTTTCTTTTATAAAAGGAGTTTGTGAGACAGATATTTTTTGATTTATTGTTGTTGCTTAACAGTGGTGTCGAGATATTTGATTTGGGAGTGGTTTTGATATTTCCGAGGCGTGAGCAAGGGGGGTATTGTTTATATAAGACTCATGAGCTACTGCGCCGTTACTATATATTTTTGGATATTAGTAAAGTGAAATTAGTAAGTGGAAGGTACCGTAGGTAATATATTTCGTCCATTTTGAAAATACACTTTAGAATCTGCTGTGTGATATAAACATGGCTACATGGCAGTGAGTTTCGGAAAGCGTCAGTACAGAGCAGAGGTGGGCAAGGTTATTGGATCATGGGTCAAAAATTTTGCCTATGTGGACTGACGGGCTATGTAATTATGACGCAAAAAGTTACATTTTATGAACAATATTTACACTGTTGCACAATAAGTCTCGTGCCAAAACTAATTTTTATCCCAATCTCAACAAATTCGCAAGCCATTTTATAGCTGAATCATCAAAACTTGGTTTAAGTTTGGTTGTGGCAGCGTCAGGCGGGTAAGATTAAATTTATCAACGGGCCGGATTTGGCTCGCGAGCCGTAGTTTGGTCATATCAGCTTTAGAGCAACAAGAACAACATAACAACGAAACGATCGTTATGCCACTAAACGTGTCCAATAAGAATAAACGGAATGAAAGCATGATAAAACGGGATTTTGTTGTCTTTCAAAACTATAATATTGTGACGGGCCTTCTATCAAACTTGGTAGCGAAAGACCCAGGATGTCTTGTCGCTAACTATACTAACATCAGAGTACTTGCATTCATTCGTGTCTACAATAAATTATTTTCATCACAAACTTACTTGTTCACAATCATAAAATATTTAATTGAAACTTTTGTACTCATGACGTACCTTTTTAAAACTCATGAGGTATTCTGGTTTGTTTGAACCATTTGTGCGCATGTCGAAAACGAATTTATCCATAATGGTAACAGATGATGAAATTCTCTGGCGCACGTTATTCTTTTTTGTCTTTGCACACCTGATACCACCGCGCCCCAGATGACATAAGTGCGGTATATTTCACCACGGGTTTAATTATTAATTTTGAAACGATTGTCTCGATTTAGGTTTTCTCCCTAAATTTAAACTAATTTTTCGATATTGAGGTTATATTAAAGAACCTTGATGTCTGATCACAATTTGAGGGAAGAGAAGCTGCTGTTTTGAAATCGAAGACTAAAAGAAGGTGAGTCATGGCTAAGTTACGACCAGATTCAGAGAAATAAATCGCCCAATGGGCAGACGTGCGCATTCCTATTCGTTGGTTATCCGATTTCGGCAATTTAACATCCGAATCTATTGTTATTGTTACAAGAATGCCGGTGACTGTTTTGATGGCCAAAGAATACATCCAAATACTTATTTGTATTTCATAATCCCTGTTTATTTCTATGAGCACATCGTATTGCCAAAAAGCAATTTTGATTTTGGACAATTTTGGGATTTATTCTAATCCCCAACGCTTGATAGTATCGCCGTCACTTTCATTGATGTTAGAAATATCATCATTCATCATATCATTTTTTTGCTAACAGTGAATGAGTTGGAGTCATTCGCGTTTTAAATGAAATATTTGAAAACAGATATATATATCTATTCATTTTTTATATATTTTTTGTAGATAATGGATCAACAACAAAAAGCCAACAACGATAATCGTTCAAACCAGGATAATCAGAACAACTTTCGGTAATAAAATTATTTGAAAACATTTACAATGGCCGTCCGTGGGTAACGCATGAGTCATGGGCATCAGAGACAAATTACCGACCAACATGCGTCCGGTGCTTCTGCTGTTTTTACTAATCTTACGTTGTTCCTTTCAGATACCAAGGCCATCAGTCAGGATATACCGGAACTGGAACAAAATCGGACTTGAGTAACCACGCGAACCATAAGAATCCGAATAACCCGAGGTAACCTATATATATTTATTCATGCAATCATGTGTCAGCGTCCAAATTTTATTCGGATGGGTTATTATTATTGTGAATTCGTGAATGTGACATTACCTGGTAGCCGTAACAACATCTTAATCTGTGACTGACTGTAGTTTAACTTTAGCCGGTATTGATTTCGATTGACTGAATACAGACTTTTGTGAATTTGATTTAACAGATAAAATGGCCGATACCCATGCCATCAAAAATTGTCTGATTGAGGTCTATAAATTGTCGGACAGCAGGTTATTGGAAACTGAGACAGCCATTGCAACATTTGTTCAAGATTATCAGAGTGAATACTTCATTTTCCATTTCAGCTGTCCCAGTGTAAAAATGCCCGAAATTCTAATTGTAGTGTTACAGTTAGGTCATTACTAATGTTAGGTTAACAGAGAAGTTGATTTTCGGGGAAAATCCATGGTCAGCCGCGAACCCGGCTATTCACACTAGACGTAAATACAGGCTGTTTCTGCTCAGACTACGAATTATTGGCCACCATTGCTACTCTTTTTTACTCAGCATATTGTCAATGTTTATTTTTTTTTACAGATACCCGGGGAAGAAATGAACCCGTGATAGAAGATGAATAAATGGAAATTAAAGAAATATCAATTTTATTTTTATAATAATTATCAGCTTTTAAAACGATCAATTTCTGAGAATACAATTAACTGAAATAGTATATTTGCGTTTACTTCTTTATGGGCATAGGAAGTCAGATTCCACTGTTATATCATTTAGTCAATCCGTAGAATAAAAAGTAGCATATATGTATATTTAAACATCTGATATTTTATCGTCATGTATCGTTTCTATTTAAAAAAGTATAAATTATATGACTCAGACGATTTCAATGCAACAAATCCAAACCAATGGATGCCTAGAAAACATATTCCATATTCATATCAAGGGTTGCGTTATACAATGGATTCCTACTCAACTAATTAGGAATGGAAAGTTCCATTATTTGATCGACCAATCCTAAAACCCGACCTGACGATGGAGTTGGTACAGAAATCCATGGCCGCCGCCGCATACGTATTTATATGCGTTCGTTTCTCCACGGATAAATATGAGAAAATTGCTTTTTTTACGAAGTAAAAATATTTACAATCCCCAATGTCCTGGACTAATTTTTAGCGTTTATTTACGTTATTTTCAGTATTAAAGATTTATTAAAAAAATGTTATCATTGAACATAGAATGAACACAATAGTTGGAAAAAATTAGTATTCAGCTAAATCATGCGGTGTTATGCTCACAGCGTTTGAATTGCAGGAAGGAATTCGAACCGTTATTGATCTTCTGCCGGATGCCACTGATTCCGTTTGAATCCGAGGTAGTTTCAGAAGTTTCTTCTGGGACAATTCACGAGCAGATTTCATCAATTTTTTCAGTGATTTACTCTTTACTTGATACAAAGAAACTGGATTTTGTCTTCGCACTTCTATAGCATTATAGGGCCTTGCATTCATAATATCATCCCAATACATAGATCTGTAATTTGCTACAGGAGTAGGCATTGGGCCTCCAAAGTCTTGATCTCTAAATAAGACTGACATATTCTCTCGTTTACGAAGTTCGCACAAATATGGTTCATTGCATGTCCGTGATGTGTAATTTCGACATGTTGTATACAGCTCCTTCTTGAAACTTTGCTTGCTTGACGAGATTTTGTAGCTATCCACCATTCCACCATGTTGTACACGTCTGGCTGGCTGGTTTACCCATCTGAAAGCAAGTGCTCCGTACCTATATATACATATAAATACAAATTTCATTTCAAACTAAGCATATAATTAGCGTTTTCAGTACTCAAACAGAATAAGTAAGTTTCGAATATGCAAGCTTGATGTGAATTACGTCCGAACGATGCGCAATGGTTTAAAATCCGCAGATAGCACTGAACATTACCAAGGTCGATGCAAAGTAAAAAGAAATATGCAAACAGGAAATCGTACTGCAGGCTTTCAAATATAAAATTTTCTACTGCATTGATGGCAAAGGATTGATTTATCGACATCTTCCGAGAGAAATACAGAAAGAACAAAATAAAATCACTAAGAAAAAAAATGATAAGTGGGCATATATATTACCTGCTTTCTGCTGTGTATTTTGAACATGTTTGTGCTCCATGTCTACCAGGAAGAGGACAAATTATCGTCTGCTTTTCATTTGTCTTTGTCGCTTCGTTATCGTTGGATTTGACTATGTAATCAGTAGCTAGTCTTTCACCTGGTGATGTAGCGTATACATTCTTGGGCAACGTGCCACCGCCAACGATTTCTTTTGGAATCGGAGGAAGCGTCAGACGTTTCTTAATGTTGTCGTGATTTTCAGAATTTGTTTTACGAGAACCTGATAAAAATTGCGAAATGTCCAAAATACACGACTACATTGAAAAAAGACAGTAAGTGATGGTTTTTCGATTCGAAACAATCGTATTTCACACAGCATAGTGATTTTTCCACACTCAAGCGATGAATGATAATGACTAGACCAGTAATTACAATAATGTTGTCTACACAGCATATAAATATATAATAACTGGTTTCGGTAATGAAATACTACACTAGGATGCAATAACAAAACTCATCCTTATTGGACACGTAATGAACTCATAGATCGTTTTAATATTATGGTAGAATTAGAATTATTGTTAGAATTCTTTGCCATGTTCTTGTTGTTATGAGAAAATCGCTTTTCTCTCTAACTACTGGAACAATTGCATTGAAATTTTCAGTGATTAAAAAGACTGTTGTTGTCGCTAGAAGGCTATTACTCTTATTTATTCTTAAAGTTCTATGAATCCTATGAGATCTGATATTTTATCCGAAATTTCGCCGAAATGTTTTTTATCCTTGGGAACACGGTTTTTAATCCGCCAAGCGGCTGTTTTACGTTTTGATTTTGCAAAATCTTGCGACGCGAATGTCAGAAATTTTTCGACATCGATGACGCATACTGGCCACACAACACTGTTAATGATTTAATACTAGAGTTGTAAGTCGAATAATTTAGCATTTCAGGTTGGCACAAGACGCGTAAATCATCATTGTCACAGGATCTGGTATCTAGGGCATTTCGGGGTACTAGTAAGATAGCCCACAGTGTCAGCTTTTTCCAGGATATAGTTTTGGGGGAAATCATGGGTAAAATACTTCGTTTCCCTCAAAACCCCTTTCAATCTTATCCCTTTCTTCTACAAATACTAGTATTAGAAGAAGGCCTACCGGATATTGTAACGGCAGCGTATATGCTGCGGAAATTACCTACATTTTACTTGCTTCAATCTCTTGAGGCTGGATCTCCAATCACTGCTGACAACATCCGTCGACCGTTGGTCAGTATATGTATATCCAGAATCTTGATGAACCAAACTGCTTTTTTTATATTTGTGTATTTTTGTTGAAACAGCATTTGTTGAGCACCTGAATTTGGATAAAAAATGATAACCAATTATCAAAAATTATAACCAATCTAAGTAAAATAAAACAATGGAGTAAAGAAAATAAAAAAAAATGTTGTATATTGTGAAAAGTATTCCTTTTTGTTCCATTTTGCATTTATTTGGGGGTTGCTAACTTACTTTTCCTCGTCTTGATCGGTTGATTGCAAAACGTTTGTTGATACCGATCCACCAAGAGCGCTGTCAAGTGGACGATTTGAAAATATAGCTGCAAAGGAATGACTGGTTTAACGAAAGTTTATTGCTTGAAGATTATTACAAGAAATCATAATAAAGCTGTACATTATATTCGAAATATTGGAACATCTTTGTTTTCCTCACATGTATTTTTGTTCAATTCAATAGGTCGGTAGTAGAAGAATCATAAAAATCAGAGATGCTGACTTCGGTATTTAGACAAATTGCCTCCTCCGCTACTATACCGTAAGACTGGACTGCTGACTATTCATTTTATGACATCGGGCTTTATTTCGTGCGTAACACACAAATTGTATCATAGTTAATTCGTACTAAACTTACTAAGATCCTAAGTACCTGATGCTGGTTGACGAATGTCATTTACATCAGGAAGAGACGCCATAGTGGATAAATGATGTTTATCGGGAAGCATTGGCAATCGAAATCCAGCCGTATTTCCACTATCGGAAACATCTTCTGCAAAATGTGAAGATGCAGAAATCGGCGGAGTTGGAGTCAGAGTTGTATCCGATAAATAACATTTGGATTCGTTAGATGAATTTTCAACAACTCCAGTATCTGGCATGTTCTGTAATGTACTCTCTTTTTCTGAAGATAACTGGCTGATTGAAATGTGCTGTGGCTTTGCTAGACTTTCTGAAGCTAAAATAGAATTATTTGTGGTTGAAATTGTTTCCGTCGAGTATTGTCCAGAACGATCAGGTTTATATTCAACATTAACAACAGGAGATTGATTGTCTTTAGTCTCTGGCATGTCCACCGATAATTGTGCGTTCGACATTGCATTGGTACACCTTGCGTGTTCTTCAGCCATATTTTGTCTGCTATTCACTGTTGTGACGTTATATTGCGAATGTGACAAATTTGCTTCTTGTGATGAAGGTTGACTCATTACACTTATTGCAGTGTCATCAAATGATTCTTGGCTAAACTTAGTCGAACGCCTTTTTGACAAACGTTCTTCGGCATTGTCAGATGCCGTGCTGTAAGGTATGTCCACAGATCCAATTATTGAAGTCTTTTTCACATGTATTGGTTCGCATATCAGTTCGAGCTCCGACTTAGGACCTTCTTTTACATGAATTGTTGCTCTCCGAGAAACCTCATTGTCTGGTATAGGAATCATTTTTGTTTGCGACAAACGTGTTGATATTTTTTCACAAGACACTTTCTCTGCTTGATCCAAACTCCGGCTGTTGGTTGACCCGATAGTTGAGGATTGATTCGAAGGTTCATGATGTGAAATACGTCGGGGCTCATTTTGTGAAGAACGCCGCCGTTGCATTCGAACTGCCGTTTGTACCGTTTTCATTGTTCGCATCATTTTGATTGTACGTTTTGTTTCCTCTGGAATTGCTTTTTTCCAATTAATTTTTGGATAGTTCGTGAATGGTTTGCCACCTTCATACGGCCTACAAAAACAGATGGCAATTTTTGAAGGTAAAAGTATATATTAAAAAGGGCGGCCTGAAAGTACGATGCTATTTAATTTTAATCACATGAGAAATTTTTGATTATCGTTGACTGTTGACCTTAATAGCCAAAGATTTCACTCTGATGTTATTCAGAAATTTATTATTATTACAGTTTACAGTTTTTGTTTTTATGTGAAGATTTGAAGACACGATTGTAAATATCACTTTTGATTTGATCGACTTGTGAGAGTATTACGATAGCTTGCCGACAACAAATTCCAGTAAATGAGTTTGCGCGGAGAATAATCGACAAAATTAATGACCGTCATCTATTCTAATAAAACAATTATATACAAAACTAAAAAATTTCCGATTTTTCAAGTAGGTTTATCGGGTCAATTAATCCAAATGAATAAGACTACTAACCTCTCTATAACCTCTTCTTTTTCCACCGTGAACTTTTTTCTTTCTCTTGCCTCTTTCGGTTGAAATCTCATATTTCTCTTTCTTTCCGCAGAGTTTGAATCTCGTCTAAATCTGGTCATTTTACCAGCTGACCCTTTAGAGCTCACACTTTCCCCATCTCCAGCAGCAACAAAGTGTTCATCGTCAACGGTTGTTGAATCTTTATTCCTACTGCTGGTTTTAAACGTGCTTGTGCTTGATGTTTTTTCGCTATTTTTGTCTTTAGGCAAGCTGGATTTTTTGCTCGAGACTTTGTTGCTTGATATACTGCTCGAGTATTGAGTTTGGGATCTGGATTCTTCATCATCTACACTTTGCCTTCTTTGAGATATAACAAGATTCAATCGTTCTGCCATCCTTGGAGCGTTCGCAAGAGTGAAAAGACCCTGAAAAAGTTCATCAATCGACTCAACTGCAAAATACAGTTGATTACCAATTAACATATAGAGCTTGTTGATTATTATTATGATTATTTATTTTGTTCAGGTGGAGTAATAAAACCCTCCCATAAAATGATCACTCACTGTTTTTACTCTTTGTAAAAGTGAATGCAAACTCTCTTTTTCATTTTTTGAATGAGCTTCGGGTGGCATTACCACGTCATCTCCGACTATACTTCGAAGTTTTGATGCCAGTTTATCCCAGGAATCAATGTTTAGTTTTTCAGTAAGGATTCTGTGAATAGGAAGTGATTGATATACCCAATAGTTGACAAATAACCATTAGACAATATTGAAATAACAATAATTTTGTAAATGGAACAACAGTAACAACCACTATGGTTCTGTTTTTTTGTCTGACAACAATGACCGTGATATGGCTTTATTGGTTAGCTCTCGTTATATCATATAAGCCTTTATTTTAATTATTTCTCTCTGTCTCCCAAATTCTTTTCAAAATGTTTTTTTGCGTCTAAAGATTGTAAACATTTCGAAAGCATCTTCCTAGTTCTTGCTTCTTTCCAATTTCTTGCTTAAAACCTATCTATTTGTATCGGTATTTCTCGATTTCTCAATCTACCATTTATCGAATAGGGTCCTCACACACCTCAACAGGTAAAAAACATCAAGTTTTCGTGCTATGCTGTTTCGAATATCAATATTTTCCAACCTACAGTCGTATATATATACTGTATTGTTTATAAAATGAGTCTCATGTAACTGGCTTTTGTAATTCACGAGTTGTGAATGATGGATCTTTTGATATGATACTGTTTCATTCAAGTCCTCACAATGTAAACATAGTTGTTCCATAGTTGTGATATTATACGAACTAAATACGAAGGTAAGTTTCTATTAATATAAAACGGTATTTATGTTTGAGGGTTAAATCAAATATACGCCTAACTGAAGAATCGGGAATATGTTTGCTCTCGATTAATAAATCATTATTGTAACGTTCTTAGATAATCCATGTTAGTACAAAGCGGCAAATGTTTGCGCGAAGGGGCAACCACATTTTTCCATCTAATACTTGAGTGTAAAGTAGGGTGAAAGTTTTTTTTTACACGAAGTGGACATATACATTGTTTCGGAATTATGTTGTTGTTGTTAGAATTCTTTTTTCTTGTTGTTATGCTTTTCTTTTCAATTACTGGACCAATTGTTTTAAATTTTTCAGTGGTTAAAGATTTTTGTCGCTAGAAGGCTGTTGCTTTTATTTATTTCAAAAATTTCTGTGAACTCAAAGAGATTCGTTTTTTTTGTGTGTGATGACCTCATAAAAATTGATTTTTTTATGAACAAACCATCACCGTATCACGTAAGTTTGAAATTCGGTGTTATTGAAGTGATATAATTGCTTAAAATATACGTTTATGAGCATCTGAGCCTCTAAAAGCGACTTTGCTTAATAATAGTCTATGTTACCCTATGTTACCAATAATAATGCGAAGTCTTACTTCATCGCCTTTTTCTTTATGTCTTCATTTTCATCTGCTGATAGTCTTAGAATTCCACACGAAATTTCTTCAGACATTCCAATTCCAGCATCAATGGCATCGAGAGCATTGTGAGCAAGTTGAACTCTGTTCGGATTTTTCTTCCTGCTTTCTTCTATTTCTCGTTTTATTTCTTCACTTTGAACTCCCGTTATGCTGAATCTCGGAGTAAGGTAAGACGCGATAAAAAGTTCTATTCGGTCTATAATATCATCGCTAAGAATATTGCCAAATTCGCCTCTGTCTGTTCCCGTTGGTCCAAACGCTCTGACAAGTCTGGTTAAGTTTTCACATGCTTTTTCGTGAGCCACCACTCTTGTAGTGTTCCCCATTTCCAAAAGTGCGACAGTCACTGTTCCTGCTGTAACATTCGACAGTTTTTTCCTGAACCACAACGCTTTTGTGATTTCCTAGATTGAAAATGAAAAAAGAATGTGAATTTATTAAAATAAACGATTTTCAATCAGATTTTTTGATTGCGGAAAACACAATATCTTGTTGGAGGCCTACATTAGTCAGAATGGTACAATTAACAAATTTAAACTTTGTATATTTCAACTCGTTAAAACTTCATCCACATGCACGTGGTTTGTATATTTCAAACTGATCGTTCACCTGAATCAACTAACCTCGAGTAAAGGATGAATTGTTATGACATCTTTAACTTTTAATTTGTCCGTTCTGGTTTTGAGTAGTTTTGCTTTCATGTCAGGTTTTGTTCGCAACGTAGATGGTGCTTTTCTTGGTTGTACTGTCTGCATTTCAACAGCTACAGTTTCCTGCATCATTCTGGACATTGCTGAAAACGATTCCTTAGCGGGAAGAAGCACCACAGGATCAACAATATCTTCTGTTTGTTCCTCTTCTTCATTTTGGGAATCTGCGTACAATCCACGTACTTGGGAAGTATATTTTGGAACTCTTCCTTTGCCTTTACGTTGCTCGAAAGTAACTACTCGTTCTTTTTCGCTGGGGGATTCTAGGGTGTTTCCCAATCTTCGAAAAGTATGATCTTTACCTGATGATCGAGTTGTTTGCCTAGAATACTTTTCGAAATCGCTGTAATCGTCGTCTTCATCGATGTCTGTTGCTTCTTCTTTTTGCTGATTCATGTAGTATTGCTGCAAAATGGATTCCGCGTTTTCCAAATCGAAGTCACTTCCTGCCAGCATTATAGACGTACGCATCATGCTCAAAGTCGATTCTTCATAATTTAATGTGGCGGTACTGGCCTCAGCAGCAGCAGCGGTTGCCCAATGAATATTATCTGTTGCGACTTCTTTTAATTTAAATATTTCAGCTTGGATTTCGGGCGGAGGTGGTGGCGGCTTCACGCGCTTTCTCACTATTGAATTTGGAACGTATCCATCTGGTGCTACTGGAAATTTAGGTTGTTTTTCTTCATTCGTGTCCTCTTTTTCATTCCCCTCTTTTTTTGAAAGTTCAGACATGCTATTAACACCTCCAGTATCACCACTACTAAAATCGGATTTTGAAGTAGAAAAATCTCGCGTATCTGTGTCATCATGCTTTATTTCAATTTGCTCAATTTTCTTCAAAAATTCTGCAATTTTCTCTTCGTCTTCGAACATTGCTATTGATCCTCTTTTAATTTCTTCATTAATTTTTGAAAACAAATCCTTCCAAAGTTCTGTCCGAGTTCCTGCCCGATGCTGTAATAACAAACAAATGGGTATACTATCTACTACACATTGACATTTAAAATAAAGTTTTTCTTCACTGTTGAGTTTGTTGGTTTGTGATGTTATCGATCGACAGTAGACAGAGATCACGAATTAATGTATATTCTTAGTTAATTTGATTCGATTCTTTCATTCATCCATTCCAAAAATTTATAATATTATCCTATATTTTATTACCGGGTTAGCAAACAAGATATATATATTGGTGCCATTTTTATTATATTTTCCAGCTTTAACAGTCTGTGGAGGGCAAGGGTTGAGTAAATATGGTAGATGTGACAAATGTAATAATAACTAGGTGCAAATAATGTTCTAAATTGATATTTCCTCCGAAATAAACGAGAATGAAATAGCAGTCATATTCAGTCTAGAGCACTTTCATTAACATGCTTGTTAACCGTAGTTGTTGTCGATATAGAAATATAAAGTTAACAAAATGCTTGGCCATTATATTGATTTCTGCCCTGTAGTCTGTATACATGTTATTTATATTGCTGTAATGTTTGGAGCCTGGGTTGAGCAAACTCAAAAATTAACAAAAAAGATGAAAAACAACATGTTCAATCTATATGTGAAGTGTACTACTGTAAAAAAATTGGTTAGATGAGAGCAACGATGTTTGGCTAAGTAAAAGTAGTTCGCCCCATAACGACTCACTTGCTCTTGTACTTGCTTGCTTTCGTCCGAAGTTGTATCATTCTTTCTCGGCATTGTAGCATTAAGAAGGTCAAAATAGTCCAAAGGTTTTGGTGATGGCAAACCTATAGCGACGTCACTACGATCTAATCTCCTTGAACTGTATTTATCAGCGATCATAAAACGTCTGTGGAAATAAAATATTAACCAGCTGTAGACTGGGGCATACCATTAGTCATTTGGAAACAGTGCTCTGTTAGTCTTTCTTCGTTCCTTTTATTCAAGTTTTAAAAGTTGTACATCATGTACTGGAAACGTATACTTAGCAACTCATTACGCTGCCTCGCTTTGTTTGCATTGAGATTTTTTATGCAAGAGGGTTTGCAACAATTACTGATAAATTTGAGTAACATTTTCGGTTCTATATAAATACATGTGAGTGAATTAAAAAATAAAAATTCAACTCAATCGAAGCAGATGTGACCCTAGCGCCATATTTAGAAATGGTACAGGAAAAAATTGTACGTAAAGTTAGATTCACGGAAATTTCCCAAATAGTGTGCAAGCAATAGCAAATGAAATACCAGTAATGCACGGAAAACGACAATAAAAACCTTCCAAAGATAAATACAAATGTTAAAAATTAGTAAAAATATTCGTTGGCACAGCAAAGATCGCGATTTAAACGCAAAATTCCTCGAAAAAGACAAGCAGGTTCGATGGATGATAATGCGCGAAAAAATTGCATGTATTGTTGGTTATCTGACATAAAGCTTGAATTTAAAAAGTAACTTGTTATGTGAAATTCATGCTCATATAACCTTTCGCTAAATTAAATCTACTTATGATCCAACGTGAATGCTGTGAACCTGATATTTTCTTCAACCATTTCATCCGGTACCAATTGTCTCATGTTACCCATAAGCTGAATTGTTGGAAGGTTTTCTATCTTGGATATGACTCTTATGTCATCGTCGTATTTTAAAGCCGCCTCGTTTGCCATGTCCTCAAATTTTAAGTCGGCTATTTGACGTTCTGTTATTAAAGACTTCGTCAGAAAAGTTGAACATTCAATGGCATATATTCTTCCTTCCAATGCCACAAGAAGATCTCGTCCATTAACGAAACTTATTGCTGTAACTGGATTTGGCAGAAAGCAAAGTTCCCTCAATAACCTACAATGATAAATACTGAAATTAGGATTTGTTTATTTTGATAAATGAATTATTATCACTTTATACCACATTTAAAAACAACCTATTTGGAGGCTTGTACAGGTCATAATTTAATTCAAAGAGCGTATCAGTGGAGATTAGTTTTGTTTTACAAATTTCGTCAAATACAATCATCATGTTAGGCTTATTTAGTGCGAATAGGATGATGAACGTTTCACGTCTAGCGAAGTGAAACGAAAATTTTGCACTTGTGAAGTTGCATAGACAATACCTCTATTTGTGTGTTTTAAAGCCTATAACGAAAGACCAAAAACGACAAATTGCATCACTGTATGAGCTAATGAATTTCGAATATACTATTTTAAATATAATAACCTTTATATAAATGAAAAAGACATCAATATGTTCGGTATATCCGTATTGTGACCTTTTGATGACGAAAGTGTGTTATATTTTACCTGTTCATTTCATCCCATATTTTAACGTAACCATCCACACTTGCGCTTGCAAAGAATCTAAGACCCGGAGAACTGGATAATGCTGTGATCCTGCCTTTGTGATCGTCTTCCGGGTTGTGAGTATGAATTAAGTTACTTCTTTCTTTCATGCGTAACAGATTTCCCACACTTTGATTAGCTGTAAGATATGTCGACAGTCTATGCTTTTCCAAAGCTGCTTCAATGGCGATTCGTTCATTTCGACTAAGTTTTGAGAAGTCAAGTTTCTGTAAAATGTGCATGATGGTTGCATTCTATTTTAATATTATTGTCGAGATTTGTATAAAGAGGATTTTCGAAGTGGCATAAATGCAAAATTTACCAGTTTATGCAAGTGATCAGTTGAGTGAAATAGACAGACATTGTGTCACGAGACACTCCAACCCTTTTATTCTTTATAATATATAAAGAAGTTGAACATGGGGTTTATACCCTAGCTTCCCTTTTGCGACATCGACTTAGAAAGACATAACAGCACGCAATCTTTTGTACGTATGAGCTTTTTTACCTTTTCGTCTTCGTCGATTAGATAACGTTGTATTTTATCTGCAGCATTTGGAATGTAGGATATTTCTTTCTCTTCTCGTGGTGATGGTTCAGATTTTCTCGTAATTTCAATGATAACAATGTGACTATCTTCTCTCACTAAACACAGTCTATCGCTAATTGCAGCTACAAACACTGGATGAAGACACTGTCCCGGTAGAAAGACTTTTGTAACAGGCTGCAGCGTGAATTCGAATTCAGTAACTTTTCCACGATTTGCTGGTGGTTGACCAAAGAAATCTGTTTTCAAAAGAACCTTCCAGATTCGTATACTACTCGCACCAACGCTGAATACTTGGTCGTCGCAATGTGCAAAATCTGTAAAGTTTGAATATGAATGTATAATTAGAAGTGTTTTGATTTTCTTGGTTAAATATAGAGCGTTGAGAAACTCCTTAAATTTTCAGCGGGGCGTTTCAATGTATATAGTTTTCGAAAGCGGTATTCTTCACTGTTAATGGAAATTATTTTGTAAATGGGTACCAACCTTCTTGCTTGCTTGTATATACATTTTCAGTTGTCAATAGAAATCGCACTGCACCAGCGTGGGCCTGCACATTATTCATCCAAATCATATTAGGTCTGACCAGAACGATTTGACCATTACATAATCCTGCAATGATAGCAGTTACTGGAGTGGATTTGTCTCGAAATTTTATCCGAACAGATGCAAGACTGCACACATCTTCATCAAACGTTATGGCAGGTACAAATCGCTGCAGAGGAACTGACGGATTACTAGTGCAATCACATTGTAATATGCTTCCATCCTGTAGCTTGATATAACTCATTCCAGAATATATATCAAATGTAATATCGGTGAATATCTGAAGAAATGTACGTCACAAAATAAAGTAGTTAAGACAGGTATAAATAAATTTATCAAAAACATTTCACTTAAATGCTTCGTTGAGAAATAGTTTACAATTCTCGTCGTATCAAATATACCTGGAACGTTGTCATCGGATATATCATGGTAAGCATGAGTCCTGTATTTGGTGATAGAATTGCTACAGATCCATCCGCTAAAGCAGCAAGAATTCTCCCTTGACGTGAAAATGATACATCTCCACTGATTGGACAGAGTGTTGCCGGAGTTGAGTGAGGAATTGAATATAATGAGTAGAGATTGTGGTAATAGTAGAGGCTAATCTAAATGAAGTTTACCAGTAAGTTTACAATATTTTATAGGCACCAGACAACTAGACACACTGAATGGATTCAGATATACCATTCTGAATAAAGTGAAATGATTTGCTATATATTCTGATTCAGCTTATTCATTTTACCTCCATTCAGAACATTCGCACACAACTAAATTGTTTGATTTTCCCATACTATAACTTTCGGTTGGAAATTAAATTGAGATTATTTGTTTTGTTAATTTAGCTTTAAAGAAAAGCGCTGTTTGGAAATTCTCATAGACTCTCATGAGCACGCAATAAAGGTTGTGCGTCTAAAAACCAGCCACATTTTTGTGCTACCGATTTATAAACATTCTGAAATCTCAATATAAGCATACTTACCTAGTAATAAAAAAAACTCGGAGCGGCATTAACCTCACCTTTCTCTTGCTATGTAGAAAGAACGAATTGCTGCTGTCACTCAGGGTTATGTTTTCAATCAATTGACATGTATCTATTCGCTGATTTTCCCGAAATGTTTCAAGACACCAAATTCGAATTGAACCATCTTTTGATGAACTGATAAGAATCGGGTGTTTGCTGTGGGCTACAAGACCAGTAACTGCCAAACGGTGACCGAGAAGTGTAGTGACTGTGCCGAAATTAACCTGTTGGTTTGGAACAAATAAAAACTACTCAATAAATCCATTTCGATTCACACTGTAAATTACTCAGCTGCCTGATTATCTCATGTCAAAATCAAATACTATTTAGATTTTAGATAATTCGTCACGTGAAGCACAAAAAAATAATACAAAAACAAAGCAAGATAAAAAAAAGCAAAAACTCACCATGTGCATTATCTGAATCATACCTTCTCCGCCTCCAGTAATAAAGTATCCGAACCGAGGAAAAAAATCACAAACAGTAAATGAAACATGGCCTTTTATGACGTAATTAGAAATGATATTTTGAGCTGAATCATCTGCAAAAATGAAAAACGCATTTAGGTTATATTATAATAGAGCATAACAAAAGAGCAATGCGCAAATATATATATATAGGCAAAACATAAAATGATACCACAGTGTCTGCGAAATATCAGCCAATTATGGAAAGAATTGCACGGGATGCCAAAAAACAATGTTTTCGTGAATTGAGCAGTTCCATTGGATCCGGAGCGCTTTTTCACCACAAAAACAACAACAACAATATAGCAAGACCACTCAAGACAAAAAATATACAAACAGTAAATAAAAATTCGTACCTTCAGGTACAGATTCTTTATCTGTTTTATCCCCAATTATAAAAGGCAGAGGACTTTGCAGCCTAACGCTCCATATCTGAAACACATCAACATTCTAGACTCTTATCAATTACATGAACATATTTCATAATTATAAAACCTGGATAGTTTTATAAATAATCTGCAATATTTAGCAGCATAAAACAGAATATTTTAAGACGCCGCCATATCGTCAGAATGGAGACAGACAACGCGCTATGCAACTAATTATTTTTGTACATTTTATGATCCACCTGTTCTCGTGTCATATAATCAATTGCAACTATTACATCCGCACTTGTGGCCACCAGCACGTGTCTCGATCCTCCAGCAACACTTCCTCTCGTATTTGACTCATTGTATATTCTCATGTTGAGGACCCATTCATTTCTCATGACGTCACATTCATACGGGTGACAAGGCTTGAAATATTTTTATAAATAAATGTTGTACTTTAAAAACAAAAGTTGGTATTTTTATTAAAATTAAAATTTTTACCTGCAGCATTTGTCTTCCTTGTCCGAATTCGGTATGTGTTGTATCTGGTATTCCACCACGGCCCTTGGAGCTGCTTTGCTTGGTTCTTTTCCCCGTTGCTGTCTTCTTTTCCTGCGCTTTATCAAGCATATTAAATACAAAAAATAATGGGACAAAGTGCTATGTTTGAGTGCTCATTTATACAAAAATTAGTAAACACTAAGATAACGCAAATATGGAACACATTAACGCATTTCAGTTTGATATTTGGAACTAAAATTGGCTTCCCGATACTTGTTTTGAACAAAATGTACACAAACTACAGAAAGAATATAAGACCTTCGTTCTGTTCTAACCACACTTATAGTCGGGGGCACTTAAAAGACTTATCAACAGTTTTCATATTGCTAAATTTATATTACGTTTCTTACTCACGTACCACCTGATTTCTTGTCGGTTCCTTTTCTCCTAGGGTTAGAAAATCTAATTTTCCAAGGTTGTATAACGCCGATTCCTCCAGTGACAACCTCATCTGTTTCATCCAGATAGACCATACTGAGTACCGGCATTGCACAACATGTTGGTGCAGACAAAATCTGACAACGATTTCTTGTGTCAGAGAAAACTCTCATGTTTTTGTCGCTGCTTATTCCAACGAACAATCTGTGGAAAAAATATTGAAAAAGACCTTGATTATTTTATTCGTAAAATTAGGGATTTTGCCAATCTGACTACACTTTACTAACACTGAGCAAAATATTAAGAGTATTAAGAGAAATATTAAGAGAAAAAGATGAATTAAATTTGCCTATTCTATATTTCATTGTTATTATCCAATATTAGATTAGGTATTTATAAGTATTAGAGCGAACATTTTATTATCTTTCGAAATGCGTTCGAAAAAGCATTTTTCCAACCACCCTTTTTTAGTAACTCTTACTGGTATATCAGGATTGCCAATAAAGTACCCTGAGCGATATCAATGGGTATTTATTTTGTATTGCTATTTGTCTAGTTTTAACATACCTGTGCTTTGATGCCCATACCAGATGTTGTAACGGTGGAATAGAAGAGAGATTAAATTCATTCTTACTTCCTGTGTGTTTCTTCAATGTATCTGTCAAAAATGGTTTATCGCATGTAATCATATTCATTAATTATAACAGTGTGAGTGTGTCTTTTTATTCTCGCCAAAGTTTCTCTGAAAATTCCGAAAACTTAAAATATTACTAACACTAAAAAAATGCGCCACCATGTGGTAATTTGACTTCGTGGTTATATATTTATCTGTTGCTTTCTCGTTCTCAATTTATAAAGTGTAATCGATACAAATAATATATATTACTGATCAAAAGTTTCATTTCTCACCATGCTCAGTATCTTCAGTTTGAGCATCTTTTCTGAATGGTGTCAATTGAAGAACATTGCTGTTTCCAAATCCAGAGTTCACTAATGTATTACGATAATTAGTTGAAAATGATATTAACAAATTGTATGCCATTGCATCATATGTATAAATGAGATATTATGCGTCATACGCTACTATTCCTACTGCGCTACGTCCTGGCGTTGCGATCTATTGCAAGAATCGCGAGATTACCTATCGAGTAAATCATTATTTTCAACTTGTTAGCTTGCTAGCAGGTATTGTACGTTAGATGCTTCTCCTAATTTTGTCCGAACTGCCCCCCGCTTGCCGGCAACGATATTATGTATACTTGCCTGCTCTTTGCAGACAACCCATTGGAGCCTTTACCTGTAGGTCTACTTTAAAATCAGTGATAACTGATTAGACGTTTTGACGATATCACTATTCCGTGAGTGGTTGTCGTTCTTGATGGGTAGCTATTTAAACAAGATGAAAGTAACATCGAGTTGTGAATAAAACCAAGTTTGCTTACCTATGAACTCATCTGTTAAGACATTGCTTCTATAAGCTGTACATCTAATACTGTCCCTGAATGCAAAACTTTTCTGATGATGGAATCCATGCGTTAAACAGAGAGATGGATCGCGTTGTCTTGCGACGTCAGTTGGATGAGGATCTTCATGATATAATTTTTCGAACTCTTTTTGTATGATGTGCCATGGACGAAATTTTGGGTCAACAGAGTTTAACATCTTTCCCGCAGAATCCAGCTAACTTAAATCCAACGGCATTTCTATTCGCAATAATCTTATTTTACTTTGATCTGATATTACAATAAAACGAAAACGCGGTTATGACGTAACAATTGTCATTAAGAATCTATATTTATAATTCTGACAAACTGACATTATCCAAAGGTATATTCATTAACAATAAAGAAGTAAGTATCATAATGTAGACATAGTGTGAATGGAGCTTAGTACAGTGATACCCTTTACATCTCTCTATATAGGTAGGCTTACCATACGTCCCGCTTTAGGCGGGACAGTCCCGCTTTTCAGAGTTTTGTCCCGCCGTCCCGACAAGTCAGCCAAACGTCCCGCTTTTGCGTTCAGCCATCCAGAATAATACACGAACATGTTCTCGTTACTGTTGTTTCTGTGTAGCGCAGCGCTAGCCTACTTACTGAAGGTGAATGCGTTCGTATCCCACTGATTTCAATTGATGGCAGACGCATCGCATGTAAAACCAATACTAATTAGTCTAAATTCGAATTATTTGTGCCGGTATCGTTAACGTCAATAATTCCTTTCTATTTTTCGAACTGGACCCGATATTTGGACAGAGAATATGCGCATGTAATTTCGATAACAATATGGTCAATAAAGACAGCCGGGACAGCTCTAAATGTAGGAATGTAGGCCTATGTAGTAAAATCGGAACATGCGAAGTTACAAAATCACAGCTACGGGGTCGTTGTCTTTTGAGGCGTCCCGATTTGAAGTCACAAAAATATGGTATCCCTATATATAGGTGATCTCCCCGCCTAACTCGGTGGTGACACCGTACTTTAGTAGTTCCTAACTTGTGATTAAATATCCAGAAATTGGCGTGTAGCCTATACCAGTTTAGATGCTCAGTCGAATACATGACACATTTCCCCAGCATATTCTTTTTGAATATGGTAGAACACAAGGATTTTTTTTTATTCTCATTAGACATTAGTCATCGGTGTTTTTTTACATCAGAATTTGCATGTTTGTTCATCATAATATTGTATAGTTATTTCTGTAATTACACAATGATTCAATTGATGGAAGCAGCCAAATAATTCAACAGACAACTATGCATGCTGATACGCAAGATCGCAAGACCCTACGACGCCTGCTCCATCTTTCATTGTATGATCTGAACTACGATTAGGTAAATATCTAACTCAAAGTCTCCATCTCCATATATTGTATTCACAATTCGAATTTAGAGTAAAAATGCCGTTCTAAACTAAATAAACTTCAATAATGGCACAAATATGATTTGGTGACTTCCATGATTTTTATATCTGCAAACCTTTGACAATAGGGCAAGAGCCAACGGTATACTTCCTACCAAAGACGTATGAAATTGTACATGTATGCATGATATAGTCTTTATTATAATTGACATTGAATTAAATGTAACTGAACAAGAAACACATAAACTAGTAAATTGAAAACATATTTAATTCTTTAGAAAAGTGAACATTGCCGGTAACACAACGAGTTTTGTTTTTTAGGTTTTCAAAATTTCTTCAAATTTTGTGATAGAAGATGAGAAAATTAATTTTCTTATTAAAACACTCATTTTTATACACTCATTAGCATTTTTGTAGGAAGTTTTTGAAAGCTCTCACTCGAAACAAAAATTCAAAATACCTTTGTTCTTGGATAAAATATTGGGCGACCACTAATTGCCATAAACTTCTGAAACCATACTTAATTTTGGTGGAAGAATACACACCAGTTTGAAGCTCAGGGTAATCGGCCAAATAGTTAATTGGTTGTGAATTCTATACATTTGAATTACTGAAGAAACAAGTATATTGTAAGATCTAAGATAATAGCACATTATGAAGCAATTGACTAACAAAATAATTTCATAAAATATACCATTTATTTTGAAATAAAATCAGTACTAATTTTACCCAACGAGCATATTTTAGAAAGGAACATAAATAATTACTATAAGAAAAAAAAAAGATGAATTGAATTTTATTATATCGGTCTTCAGGCAGTACAAGTAGTCGATCCTATGAATCTTATCTGAAAAAAAAGAGAATAAATTCTGAAATACTTTCGTTTTTAGTACAAGAATATATAGTGTTGCTTATATATCCATCCACTTATTGCGTAACACTCTTTTTTGTAGTCAGATTAAAATAATAGATTTAAATAGAAAAAAAAACTTACTTTTCTTCGCCAGCAAGATCAAAAAGTTCAGCCATTCTAAATGGACAAGCAGACATACAGATCGGATCTGCTATTGTGCATGACACGCATCTCAAATCCGAATCTGTTATTATTGAAGTAATCAATAAAGTTACTAAAAACTTTTATCTTTTGGCTTTAGATTCGCATATTCTTGAACTAATCAAGAAAAATTTTTTTTATCGATAGTGTCTATAAATATATTTTCCATTTCTGTTAAAATAGGTTTTACATTTAAATTGATTCTGTGTGAACACGGAAACAAGAATGAATTGGGATTTCTAATTTTTCAATGAAGTTAATTTAGCTTACCGACAGGTTGTTCAACATTGCGTTGCAATTCCTTCATTCTGTACGGACATGCGGATTGGCAAACTGGGTCAGAGATGGCACACGAGAGGCAGTGACGAGTGATTTGGTCTAAATGACAAGTTAAGATTCTATCAAATTTCCAATATTTTGAATACAAATTTGTGGCTGTCAAATCCAAGTTTCTGTCGTACATGATATATCAATATTAATTGGGTATTTAGACAAAAATATATTTGCATATATTTATCAGTGGTTCACCATTGCAAGCTTTCCCATTATTTTCTAATACCATGTCCTGTATTTAGTGGGTAGTGAAATAAAACATGAAGGAATGTAATAAACCGTACTCAGTTCAATGCCAAGACATGCAAAATAATAAAGAATGGCTTTTAGAAACTAGTTCTATGTGACTAATAAAATTGCAAATAAAAGTATAACACTTCACCATCCGATTGTACGCCTCGTTCCAACTCCGTCATTCTATACGGACATGATGCTTGACAAATCGGATCAGCAATCGCACAAGAGAGACATTGACGAGTGAGTTGGTCTGAAAAGTAATAGAATGAGATAGTAGTAGTTTTTAAAGGTATTGAGACCGGAAAACAATAATTACATATTTATCAATGAATAGTTGTTAATTTTAGCCAACTTTTTCATGGACAGTTTTCTGATTTCCCTCTTTTATAATGTAATATGTCCGATTTTCAAAAGATTTGGGTTATACATGATAAACGAACAGAGGGTTGCTCAATTTTATTCATATTCAGCATGTACGATTTTCGGAAACACCATTAAATGTCGCCGGACCATTATATATTAAATATCTCCGGTGGTCGGCTCAATCATAGTTATTGACAGACATTCAAGCAATATATATTAATTTTACCGTCAGATTGAACGTCACGCTCCAACTCCTTCATTCTGTACGGACACGCGGATTGGCAAACTGGATCTGCGATGGCGCATGTGAGACACTGGCGAGTGAGTTGGTCTGGAATATTGAATGCAAATTTATGTGATCAGATATTTAAAGATTTTATTAGACATTTTGTCGATTTTCAACCATTTTTTCACAATGAATGGGTTATAAAGTTTCATATTGAATTGTTTTATAAATTATCTTAATTTTCATTTCGAATAACACGTCCGATGTTAGTGAATATGGTATCTATTCGATTAAGAATAGCTATACATTCAAAAAGTTGTGTTGTCGGAACGTTACATTTTTTGTAAAAAGTAGATGATTTTCTAAAATCAAAGATTAGTTTGAAGTGTAGAAATAAGCCCTACATTCCTTGCTGTGGAATAAATATCGTTAGATATGTTAGATCTATCATCAAAGAAATCTTAATTTATCCGATTTGGGCAATACTTTGTTGGTAGTTTTATTTACTTTCAGTATTTTACGTGGAATATTTCTTTTAATTTGAATGATATCTGACTCTTTCACTGCCCCCCCAAGTCCGCAGAATAGTTAGGTCGTTCAAAATCTGACTCGATTTTAATTGCATGTGTGCTCCCTAAATAAAATTTAACAATTGAGCTACGTAATTCTGTTAAAAAATAATTTTCGATACAGCTTTTAAAATCTTTCATAGTGGACATGTAACTAAATTTTAACAATCGAATCTCACCGTCAGATTGTTGCAAGTCGCGTTCCAACTCTTTCATTCTATACGGACATGATGCTTGACAAATTGGATCAGAAATGGCACAAGAGAGACATTGACGAGTGACTTGATCTAAAACAATAATGTATATTACATATATTCCTAGGATCCTTTTAATGTGGAGAATATTCCATTCCAATACCAACTTTATACAATTATAGCTTCTGATATCATTGATGAGATACTACGTTATCTCATTTCATAATTAAGATCAATAAAATATTATTCTTCATTATTATTACACGCTACATATTTTTAAATGCTGAGCTTACCGTCCGATTTTTGCAGGTCGCGTTCCAACTCTTTCATTCTATAAGGACATGATGCTTGACAAATTGGATCAGAAATGGCACAAGAGAGACATTGACGAGTGAGTTGATCTAAAACAATAATGTATATTACATATATTCGTAGGATCCTTTTAATGGGGAGAATATTCCATTCCAATACCAACCTTATACGATTATAGCTTCTAATATCATTGATGAGATACTACGTTATCTCTTTTCCTAATTAAGATCAAAAAAATATTATTCGTTATTAACATTACACGCTACATATTTTAAATACTGATTAACAGCTTACCGTCCGATTTTTGCAGGTCGCGTTCCAACTCTTTCATTCTATACGGACATGATGCTTGACAAATTGGATCAGAAATGGTACAAGAGAGACATGTACGAGTGAGTTGATCTAAAACAATAATGTATATTACATAAATTCGTAGGATCCTTTTAATGTGGAGAATATTCCATTCCAATACCAACTTTATACAATTATAGCTTCTAATATTATTGATTAGATGATACTACCTCATCTCATTTCATAATTAAGATCAATAAAATATTACCCGTTACACGCTACATATTTGTGAATACAGGTTAACAGCTTACCGTCCGATTGTTGCATGCCGAGTTCCAACTCTTTCATTCTATACGGACATGATGCTTGACAAATTGGATCAGAAATGGTACAAGAGAGACATGTACGAGTGAGTTGATCTAAAACAATAATGTATATTACATAAATTCGTAGGATCCTTTTAATGTGGAGAATATTCCATTCCAATACCAACTTTATACAATTATAGCTTCTAATATTATTGATTAGATGATACTACCCCATCTCATTTCATAATTAAGATCAATAAAATATTACCCGTTACACGCTACATATTTTTGAATACAGGTTAACAGCTTACCGTCCGATTGTTGCATGCCGAGTTCCAACTCTTTCATTCTATACGGACATGATGCTTGACAAATTGGGTCCGAGATAGCACAAGAGAGACATTGTCGAGTGAGCTGGTCTAAAGAAATGACATGATATTCTAACAAAGAATCCTATCAGAAGGCCATTGTTGAATGAGAGATGCATTTCAATTTTTGCATGATATATATCTGATCTAGCAAGTAGATTAAAACGTTTTTGATGCGTCAAAATAGATATAGATATATAAAATAGATATAAAATTTCCCATGTATAAAATGAATGTTTTAGTCGTTTTTAGTTGTAAAATCCATATTCCTAAAATACAAATTAGATTATTAGACAAATGACCAAATAAAAAAGAATGTTGGCACAATTACGGAACCTGGAGTTACGCTATTTCGGTGAAACGAATTGGCAGGTTTTCAGATTATTGGTTTTCGAAGACGAATTCATTTATTTTTCATTCAAATGCTTTGTTTAATAAAACGTTTTTTACTGGGAAATGCATACAGCGTATTCAAAACATCCTGAAGTCTTGGGGTGTCTATACATAATGAAAATAAGAATTAATAATATCAAAATGCAGCTATTAATTATAAAATTTCATTTTACCTGATTCTCGAGAACTTGGAAAAAACTTAGTACAATTTTTCCCCAACATAAATAACATTTTATAACCAATGAAAAACTGAAATTTTTTCGAGTGACAACAAGTCGTGGATATCCTGCTGCTTACTCGATACATTTTACTAAGCATCAGAGATAAACAAATTCATTCCAGTGTATTGTATACAGCATTTCGAAAACGTGAAAATTACAACACTTGCTTGGCACATTTCTGCCATTCTGCAAACATAACTCTTCACAGTTGGTATTTTTACCATTGAACATTTAATCGGACTTCTTTAGCATGATACAAAAACCGTTAAATATCCGTGTTTTTACAAAAAATATTAATAACGCCTATAAGGATTTGTTACACTCGTTTTGAGATAAAAATCTACCATTATATCAGGGTGGTCCAAAGTTGTTGGCATCCAGAATCACAATATTTTTTTGTATTATTCGCTGACCAAACTGATTTTTCTGGGGTGTTTTACGTTGCACGTCGCCCGCGGTCCTGGGTTTGGACCACGTTGCCCTATGTAATAATAATAATTTATACTGTGTGTCTCCAACAGCAATTTAAGTTATAGCACTTATCTACCACAAAAAAAACTTTGGTCGAGTACACTATGATTGAGTTTACTGACAAGAAATATATAGGAATTAATAGCAAAATATAACAGATTACATGCAAATTATAGCATTGTAAAAAAGATTGTAAACATGATGTAACACAATATTATGACACAACAATACACAAGAAACTGATATAGTATGAGTTTTTATACAATATCCGATGTTCATTATACATTGATACAGAATTATCAACATCAACACGGAATGATGAGAAATGCAAAAACTGAACAATACATCTAGGACGGACATGAGTAGAAACATATAGGATCGTCAATAGCGCAATTCATGCAATTCCGGGTAGAGATTTCTGGAATTAAGAAAATTTCTAATAAAGTAGTCGGAAGGGTAAAGGTACCAGGATTTATTTAACATCCCAATATAGCCTACATTAAGTTGACATACACATATAACATACAATACTTTAACCCAAAGGGGCAAAAATTGGATGAGCTGTTTTCAGAAAATGAGGAAAAGGTGTGTTTTGATTTTTGAACTCCTGTAAATATTTATTGAAATATTTTGGTGAATAATATTTCGAATAAAGATTGAAATATGAATTATTTATAAACAACAATTAAATATCAACTTGAAGAGCTTCCATTTCTTTGTGACATTTTCAAATAAATTTTGTTTACAAAATTTCAACTTCAACTTTTTGTCTCGAAATCCACGAATTGTCTTATTAAAACATGTTTCAGTGGGCATAGGTATATCGATAATTTGAAAACCTAAAACTCATATTAATTGTCGTAACGCGGGTAGATAAATAGACAATGATATCGAGACCCTGATAGACAAAAATGTTATAATTATGTATATTCAAAACCAATAGTCAGGAAGCGAGCGAAAGCTCACTATCGCGATATGGTAAATTTAAGTTCGATAACGTCTTATAGTAAATATACTACATTTAATAAAATGGCTTTAATTACATTTGTCAACAGCGTCCCTATCTGTTCTACATATATACACTGTAGGTAGTGTAGGTAGAGCCAGGACTCGGCCGAAGAAACCGACTGGGAACCATGGTGCCTGTACCTCGTATAGCATCTCGTTGGAAGTAAAATAAACTAAATGCCTAATTTTTGTATGCAATAGATTGTTATTGTGCTGACACTTCTGTTCCATTAAAATTACTGTTTTTCTTTCAATATATATTAATAATAAAAAAAACACCACATGCTCCTGCAAACTCAATATGTAAATTAAAAGAAAGTCGTACCCTTTTCCACTTGTCGTTCATTTCCAGATTTCATTGCCTTCATACATATTGTCTCATAGATTGTTGATTCTGGATTGTCTACAAGACAGAGTTCAGCTAACATGTGTAGTGATGCTTTTCTCAGAAGTGTCTTTCCTTCGTCAGAAAGACCCTTCTATTATAACACAAAAAAAAATTATCAAGTTTAAATATATTCGAAATACATACAGAATAAGCGGCCTTATTCAAAAATGTTATAGACCTATATGCTTATATATTCATTGTTGTATAAATGTGGTTGTCTTTTTGTATGAGCAGTCAACCTTTTGATCAAAAATAAATAGTAGAAAATCAGAAGATCATAAGTACATTTTAAAGCACATAACATTTAGTGTTAAGGGATTCTTTTTTGGCACGATTGTGAAGCCTTCCCTTCAAGCAAGGAAAATCAGCATTTAAATTATTGAATACAGATGGGAAATATAATTTAAATATAGCAATAAAAAATGTAATTCAATAGAGCGAAATTACTCTGCAACAATTACATACATTGCATTTAAGCGATATATCTTTGCAGAGTCCTAATTACAGATAAAACTCCTATGATACTTCTTATGATACATTTGTGAAAAACTTTTTATTATATAAAAATGGTATTTTACGTTCGTTGAGGTTTCTTGTTTCACACGTGGAAGAAACGCTGCTGATGTTGTGATAACGCACAAACAGAAAACCGCTATAACGGATGAATACATACTTCACAAACTTTTAGTTACTCGTGTAATTGGAAATACAATGTATCAATTTCTAAATATAAAAACAAAATTGTTGAAAAATATTGATATTGTAGGTTGCTCAGATAAGATCTGTATACTTTTAGTAGCTACGTTCGATACTTTATTGTAATATTAGGTAAATAAGTTTTCTAGATCTACACAGAGCTCTTTGGGCGCGGATTTGGATTGGTTGTTTGGGGCCTCCCGAGTACCTTCGTATAAAGAGATTATTATCCAGATTTACGAAGTCTAAAGAATTATTTAGATAAGATGAAGAGTTATTTGTTCAGAGCAAAAATTCCTTACTGCATTCCACTAATGATTATTTTGTTTTTAGCAAGAAACAGCTTTTCTGTTATAATTTATCGACAGAGAAGATCCGCGTATATGCTTCTAAGCATATTTTTCTTTCAATATACCCACCTGACCTATCTGATTGTCTACCTGTATCCGACTAAAGTATTGAACATTTATAGATAAAAGTCGGAAGAAATTTTAATTAATTTTTTCCAATTACCGTCATTTCTACGAATTAATAATATATGTTTCATATCCTTATTTATAAACAGTAAACAGGTGACATATGTCTAGCAGAAGTCCGTGTACGAGTACGTGTGCAAATAGATTGTTTTCAAGACTGTTTTGTATGCTATGACGTCCCTAGTTCTCTAAATATATCGCAATACCGTATACAATTAGCTCGCGTTGTTGACTTCTGTCGGGGCAAGCGAGCAAACACTGGTTAGTAAGTTTTACTTTAAAAATTCAATAGTCACTTATATCAGTGTAATCCAAAATGTTAATATTGTTTAAAACTTTGTGGGTCGGTTATTGGTAATTTTCATTAAATGCGATTATGTCAAATAATTACAACTGGTTTATCATCAATTTTTATTTTGCAACTTTTTTTCTATTCCATCTGCCTATGTGTCGCCGTTAAAAATACGACAAGACCAGAAAATTATTGACTTGATTGGAAATATTGGTTACCAGTTTTACTGAAATGGCTTCAAATGAGGATTGCTATGATTGTGATCTGGAATTGTTTGTTTCACTGCAAACGTCATGGTAACTATTTAAAGTGATGAACTGATAAGACTAGAACAAACATTGTATACTTATACATTGTAAGAGTTCATTCTTCATAGATCGAAAGTGAAAAATATAATTTTCTGCCCGATCCGAAAACAATATATATCAAAGTGGGTTCGAATTTTGGAGTATTTCAGTAAATTATCATTTTTTAATCCTTTCTAAAAATAACGATTTAGAATCACGATTCAGGCAAACCTATTGTTAGCTGATTTCCAGACCTCTCCAATCAAAAAATTTGTATTTTGATTTAAAAGTCTGGATCCCTTATTATTCACAGCAGTCTCGAATAAAACAAAATTGTCCTTCTTTAAGGGTAAAAACTGCCCTTGCTATGGATGATTCATATTAGCAATATTTATTCATAAAATTGCGGTTTTTGTCAATATGAAAAATTTCTTAATTAAGAAGGTTATTTCCCATATATTCAATAATGACTCATTTTAATGACTTAGGTAAGCTTCGGAAAAGGACGTGAAATGTTACTGACAACCCAAATGTAAAAATCGTACAAATAACGATCTCACGGCACAATTTCTAATTAAAACTTATTTGAATGTTTTATTTTAATAAATTGGAATTATACGACCATCTGTCGAAAGTTTGAAGAAATTACACAGTACAAACGCCGGGCATTCGCTTATTGAAATTAGAACAAATTATTAGGGTCCATATGCTATTTATCACATATTCTCATTACTAATTTGTTCGTTAGTTCTTTATTAATTTTGCTAAACTATTTATTTTCAAATTTGAAACGCCATCATTTCTCTGGAATCGTTATGCCATATGCTCATGAGACACTTATTTTGTGACCACAATGCCATTGACCCCCTTTGATCGATTTTCCTTTTTAGTAGAAACTATAATAGAACATCGCATGTCATACCAACAAAATATATCTTTTTCCAATCAAGCCTGATTGATCAAAAACCATTTCAGCGAACTATTTTGAACTGATTACAACATCTTCATAGAAATCCAATACAACTGGTGGATAGTATTTCCAAATAAAATATGGATTGTTTATATTCCAACACAAATCATATTATAACTATTAGTTGGGGTTCAGGAGACTAACCGCCTTTCATTGCTCTAGTCCAGGGCTTCCCAAACTTTTAAGCTCGCGGCCCCTTTTAATATATTAAAATTTTTCGCGGCCCTTGTTCACGCTAATAATGCTAAACAGTTCAAAATATGCATTTTTGATATTTTATTGACACAGCTAATTCTCAACTTTTAATAGGGCTACTCAATAACAAAAATATCTGTGCTCAGATCATTCAATGTAATGGGTGCGAATGCTTCTTGCTGCATAGCAAGTTCAGCCGTGGCGCAATGTTTGTTTATGCAGGCCTAATGATAAATTACGATGTCTGCCCACCGACCTAGTCCTAATCCGAAATTGTTCACTCTTATTGATTAAACTTAGCATAAAGCAGCGGTTTGCAGCGGCACTAAATCATCAAGGAAAAAACTAAGCGCACCTCCACTAAAAAAATATGCTGCCGCAAAATAAAACACAAGTTAATATGTACTGTATGCCTTTTAAAGGTTTATAAACATGTAGGCCTAACTCCGCCTAGCTTTTCTTTAAAATGCCTAAAACTCACTCATGTTCGATAAACTCTGTTCAGCAAACTGCGGCCAACAAAATTGCAGCATTAGGGTTTACCTGTTACGTAACAACGTAACAGAAAGTAAATAATATAGAACGGTAAAATGAATTTGATTCATATACACATCATTTGCTTTAATGAGAAACAATAAAACATTTGGAATAAATATAATATGTAATATGTTTCGAGGCGTACTGAGCAAATCGCTTTCCGGAACTGCTAGCTTAGCGTTTAAAGCCGGCATTGTTATGCAAGCACGCAAATCGGGTCAAACTATCAGAATATGCATTGTTATGCAAGCGCGATGATTCTACCGTGTTTCTCCCAAAATAAGTCAAAGCCTGAATTTTAAAAATGATTCTAATTCAACCGCTCGCCTTGATAAAAGACTTCGTTGATAGCGCAATTTGTTCACCTAATCCCGTGGAAGTTTCAATTCTGCCAGGGCGCAAAATTTCGTGATGGCGTTATAATAAATAAGTTTAATTCTGAAAATTCGGTTTTCTGTAAATAGCGATTATTTTTCTTTGGTTTGTATTTATATAAAGCAGGGTTTTCTACCATGGCCCAATAAATGTGATTTCACTGACTGTTGTTAGGTTTTGTTTGTTCGTTTATAAAAAAAACTCATTGCAAAAAAGGTATTATATTGAAATGTATCAATACGTACGGTATGTTTCACGGGAAGTCGCAACTTGAGCATATTTCTGGAGGGCGTCACAATACAGTGAAGTTCGAAAACCACTGAGTCCTAGTCGATAGAAAGAAATCTACTTTTTAAATGGTCAATAATCCATATGTAGCAGGTATTTTAAATGAAAACGTGCTATTAAATTGGCATCATACTTAATCATATTATTCATATATTTCGGTATTCATATTTTGTATATTAAAAAATCTCGTTATTCTCTACATCCCCCAAAAATGAGCCCCAGTGTTCGAAAGAAAATTGAAGACAATGTCTTATCTTCGGGAAAACACGGTATGATGATGTATATTCACTCGGAATCGTGAAATTATCGTTTTACACTATTTTTAATAACTGTATTTTAAATCAAGAGTGAAGAAGTGCAATAGATATAGTACTTTGTATAAAATTGGTGTTCTCTTCGCGGCCCCTTCCAGGGCCGCGGCCCCTAGTTTGGAAATCCTTGCCGTAGACCAAGTATATCCCTATGATTATATTGCAAGAGATGCTTTAGCAATAACAAGAGAGCTATACTCAAATAAGTGGACACGGAGGGCAAAACTAAATATTTTATCATCAATTTCCCGAAAATCATATACGGTAACTTACCAGTAGCCGTATCGGAAGACGAACAACTCGACTACACAACACGGACAACTCGACTATACGGACAAATCTTAGAGATAACTCGACTACCCAGGGTACCGGTACCGGTGCCGTTACAGGTACTGTTGTAGCTTTCCAGGTCCTGTGACGATTATCTATTCTTCATGATTCAGTTTCAACGTGAATTGAAATACTAACTGATTCTGATCCGAGTCACTTCTGTGTTACCAGATCAGGTACCGCAGTCTACCGTTCCCCATAAAAAACTTCCCACTTTCGCAAGACACGCGATCCACCGACTTCGCATCGCACAGGATCCGCTGATATACGTTCGCGGAAAGCCACAAGGTTGCAAATTTTGATGACCTCATAGCTCACAAAAAACGAATCTCATACAGCTCACAGAAATATTTGAAATAAATAAAAGTAATGGCCTTCTAGCAAATATTCAAACTTTAACCACTGAAAATTTCAAAGCAATTGGTCCAGTAGTTGAAGAGATTTTTTTATAACGAGAGAAAGTATCCCAAAGAACAAGAACAGCATAATAACAAAACGATCCATAGGTCCACTACATGTCCAATAATGCGAATTTTATTACCCCGATTGCCTTTATTTGTCTTCTCTTATATTTCACTGACGCCACCACATTGTTTTTTTTTCGGTAATTTGTTTCCTTTTTCTCAAATTTCATTCTTGGAACTTCACGAACACATGACAACTTTCGTCAAATCCATCAAACAGTACTAGTTTGTGATCGATTGAAATTCTATTATAACGGCATAAAGAAATACTTTATAAACTAAATAACTTAATGAATAAGCAACAAATTGAGAACAGAGAAATCTACCAGGCCAAGTAAACGCTGAATAATCGTATCAAAGTTCAAAGCTTATTTATGCAATCGGTTTTGTTTCAAATATCAATCTATCGTTTAAAGATAGCCAGCTTTATATATTCGTGGCTGTTATTCCAATTGTTGAACCGAAAGGATATGTTCTGACAAAATTTATGACTGATTTCTGCTGAATGACTCTCACCTATAAAAATCTTCCATCGCACTACCATTTATGGTAAGAAAAAAAAAAACAGGCTAGGAAATAGGCGGGGGCGGTTTATTTAGCGGAGGCCGCTTAAAAATCGCTGATTCGAAATAAAACAACTGTAGTTTATGAATACTATACCGTATATTTATTATCGTATACTAAAACAAGCCAACTGCAATATATTTATGAAATATTTATAGAAAATCACGACCCCCTCAAACTTGGTTGTCTTGTGTTTATTTGGAAATAAGTTTTTAAAATTTGTATTGTCTGGTTCAGGAAGCAGCGCAGATTATCTTTGCAATAATCAGTCAATACGACAGTGCAAACACCTGAAGCTGAAAAGTTAATACCATTACCTACATTCTTACCGTATTTATTTTTTATTTTTTCAATTTTTCCATGTAAATGTATTTCCCGATTTTTTTAAAGTTTAGTCTCATATCCTCAGTATCCTGAACTCTTTTTCTGTTTTCGATACGAGTCACGCAGAATTTCGCTACACGTCCCCTGTCATAACGCATTGAAGAAAGGCGAAGGCAAAATATGTCGAAATTGAAATGAAATTTTGTAAATATATTATTGTTATTGTTACTCTTATTGTTACGTGATAAAGGGATATTTTGTAATCTGATAAATTTATTTCGTTGATGTGAATAAATAAAAAAGGAATTTGTGGCGTCACAATATGACAATGCAATAAGTTTTAATCACTTATGATCATGTACTTATTTTGGTAAGCTTTTTAAAATTATATTGTATCCTTTAATAATAATATTATTAAATAAATTCAGCCGTTGACATTAGACTCTAAAAAATAAAAATTATTTAAAAAAAAAACGCTATTTATGAGTTGTTACCTCGTTTTGTTATGTATTAATAAGGTCATCAGCAGACATCAGTGTCATTTTCGTCTGTGGATAATTGTTAGTTTTTTCTATCTCGCAGGCTGGTACTTAAATATTATGATAGATGTGAAAAAATTGCATTGGTTACGTTGAAATCTACTAACACATTTTGATGATCGGAATAATCACATAAAATTTCGACTGGATTCTGACTCGAGTCCCAACTGTCAAACAATGCAACAAAATGCAACGTTTCGTGGAAAGAGATTATGTTATTTTTAAGAAAAGAAGCTGGGATGCAAATAAGTAAGTATCATTATTTTTGGGTGCTCCGGAGTATGCAGACCAAAATGTCACACAACCTGAATACTAACCGGTACACACATACTATGTTCTGGTTGTGCGTCATCTTGGTGCGCATACTTCTGGAAGTCCATTTTTTGTTTATTTTTAAAGCTTTTAATACGGTTATGGCATTGGTGGAAGAATTTGAGCTCTTAGCTCAGTTTAGAGCAGGGGCGGGCAAGGTTTCTAAACCAGGTGCCAAAAATTTTGCCCACTTAGTCTAGTGGGCCATGTAAGTGTAACGTAAAAAGTTATATTTTATGAACAATATTTACAGTGTTACAAAGCAAAGGTGGAAAACAATATGCCTCGTGCGAAAACTAAATTCAACCGCAGTCTCAATAAATTCCTTGAGCTATTTTTAGCTAAAACATCAAAATTTGGTTTCAGTTTAATTGTGGCAGCATCAGGCGGGTCAGATTGAATTACTCAACGGGCTAGATGTGGCCCGTGGGCCGTACTTTGCTCATGTCTGGTTTAGAAGCATGGTATCCTCTCGGTGTGTTATTGGAAAGTACCGTTGAACACATAAGGGACTATATATATAAGGACTATACTCTACATATATTCCACCCTCCATTCTTTCGCAGCAAATTTAAATCTACTTCGCTATACACGATATTGAATCCTCCCTCTTCCAAATCTTTTTCTACAGTTATGAAATGTTTGAAATATAAAAATTTAATATAAGTAATTGTAGTTCGAAATTTACAACAGATTCTAATAGTACTTATCTACAATTGTCTAATCGTTTAAATTATACGACTAAATGTTATGGCTCGGGATACTTTTACAGTGCTATATAGATAATGTACGGGTTTTCTAGCAACGACGGCGACTGAGTCGAACGGTGGTTGAAACTTTTTACCTGGCTTGATATATATGTCAAAAATAAATATTTAGACTGTTTTTATTTTATTTTATTATTCTAGTGTATATAAGGACGCTAAATCAAGTAAGTCGCTTGCAAGTTCACGTGTTTGTGATCTGACGTTGAATATATTTTTTTTAAATATAATGGTGAGAAATTCTTCGACTGTAAAGTTGTGTCATCCTGCTGTTCTGGATGTGAATAATATTGTAGTGTTGCTTGCAATCGAACCGAGTTCGTACAGCTTTCTTGGCCACACGTCTTCTGTACAAACTGAAAATGCATGAATTAAGCACATTCTGTGATCAAACAGCTTCTTTGAAAAGGCCTCACAACTTGCAAGCCCTAATATATTTTTTTGAATGCCAGTGGGCCAACTGGCAGCATAATAATGAGTCAATGACAGTCACAGCACATGTTCACACATAGTCATGTTCGTTATTGGACACGGAGTGGACAAATGGATCATTTTGTTTCTTAAGTTGTTGTCGTTGTTCTTGTTATTGCTGTTATGATTTTTCTTCCTATCGTTATGAAAAAATCGCTTTTCTCTTAAACTTCTGGATCAATTGCTTTGAAATTTTGAGTGGTTGAAGATTGAATTTTGCTCTTGAAGGCTATTACTTTCATTCATTTCAAAAATTTCTTTCTCTAAACTCTGGTCTAAGAGATTCGTTTTTTGTGTGCGATGACGTCATCAAAATTGAAAATAGCGCCCTTTGTGGCCATTCCGTCTTGCAGGTACGGTAATGCGAAAGACTGTTTACAGGTACTACTCCGTGTCTATATCTCTTGTTTTGAATGAATATTGGTCGATTGATTCAGAAATGACTTTATAGGTGGGTGCGTTTCAGTCTGCTAAACGCTTCCTGCTAACCCACACAATTAGTTACTAGTTATATGCTAATCCACATATCAGTCATAATGATCCTACATACTCATGCTGAATAATAATATACCTCATGTCATGTGGTGAAAACGCATCATGCCTGAGGCTATCGACCGACATGGAAACTTATAACTTATTTCAACAATATTTTCAAATATATACCTATATAATGTATTTTGTCAAAATGTGAAATTGCGACTTTTACTTCATCACAAGACTCAAATTTTCTCAACAATATCTCACCTCCTTTTAATGTTTGTATGTCTTTGAAAGTTAAAAACGTTTTTTTTTGATAATTTAATTTCGTTTGGTCAAGACTGTGTGTAATGCGAATTAAAAGATTCAGAAAAAGGAAAATGTAAAAATATTGTAAATCGTAATATATTCACTCCAGCTCCTGTTGTACTTCCAGTCAGATTATTCAGAAATTGCACAAATATATGACGTGTTGATGCTACCATTTTAGTTCAAAGCGTTCGTTTGCTTATATTACCCACCTATCCACATTTGAGTGGGCTAGCATATTGTCTAGATTTAAGCGGCTGTGATAGAAGATATTTCGCTTTCATCACGCGCTATTAGAAATGAGTCGTATCAGCATTTCCTTGTATCGTATACTATATATATAAACTGTAAACTTGCTCACTCATATGTATTCTGGTCACAGCTGCGCATGGTTTATTTACACATATAACTTTGTTGGATTTTTATGCGATTTTCATGCCTGATTTTCGTTGTCTATATTTGAAATAGTTCAATTTGTCGCTATCATAAAGAAGAAGGTATAGCAAACTTGAAAAAGACTGAGAATTGTCACCATAGAGAAAAACTATATTGAATTTTATAGAAAAGTGTCTGATTATTATATTAAAACGATCCATATCTCCAGACAATTAACAATGTAAAAAAATAGTTGCATTCAGATTAATTTTAGTACACTTCTTTAAATAAATGCACATTTCCGATTTAGTTAGTAAATTGAGACATCGTATCACTAAACATCAGAGTTTATAACAAACTTTAAAATGTGTGCTGTGCATTAATTTATGAACGGTGATACTGCAATAAAAGTACTTTTAATTTTTAGGTAAAACAGATAGCGTTTTTCGAAATAGAGAATAGTGCATATTATTAAAGCATATTGTTTAAATTCGACAAAGGCGAAAATCCTAACTTTGGAAGATGGTAAGCTACTTTTTTCAGCTTTATCAATATAGTAAAACTGCTTAACAATTTGTCTTATTTTTAGGGAAACAGTCAGCCAACGAATGCACCTCCCAGCAAACAAGAAGTAAGTGAATATAAATGTCTGACCAATAAATTTGTAGGTTACGTAAAAAAAAATACATAAATTATGTAAAAAAAATTTTAATTCTTAAAAATGATGTAAAATATGTTTTGTTTATTTTTCTTTTATTCAACTACAGAAAGTAAAAAAATCACTTGCTACAATGTGTGAAGCTGTTGCGAATGCTCTCCTAGAGTGTGCTACAATGGAGGATGAATGGGAACAGGTTGAAATAGCGAATCAATTCAATTTTTAGTGAACTTGTCCAGTTTAAGTGGTTTACATATAACTTGTTTCCAAATTAAACTTTTACCAAATATTTTTAATATTTAGTCTACATACGCTTCCTTCACTAAAGGCATAATGTATTTCGCGAATACCGAATATATTGTTTAAAATTCAAAATATTACGTTCTATTATGACGTCACCAATTTTTAAATTAGTAAGTTAAAATGCTGGGTACGCCATTGTTCATCTTTAAGTTGATTCAAATTTATTATTGGACACATAGGGGACATAGCGATCGTTAAATTAGATTGACACCGAATTTATGTAATATAGTTCATATTCACTTAATCCAGGAGGATAACATAAAGGCAGCTGCCAGAGAAATTTTAAAAATATGTGAGAAGCAAGTAACGCACAGCGCTAAAGAACTCGTGGAGGCAATTAGACAACAGAATAGAATGAAGAGATGTAAGCTGTTAATCATAATCTGTTTTCAGGCATTATTCAAAGAAAATGTTTCTATTTGTTCTCATGTATATATATATTCTTTCATGCAGTGGTCAATATTAGAAATAATCTTTATAAAGATTCGAAATTTTTAATAAAAAAGCAGACTTGCACAGACCGCAAATCATATAATAAACTCTCGATGCAGAATCGTGGGTAGACATAGTTGACAATTTTTTTTAATTTTGTTTTTTTAATTTTGTTACAATTACATAAATGGTCTATTCCCCTAGCAATATCAGTAATCAGATGTTTTATAAAATATATTTTACATTCAACTTAAATACTTAGGCCAAAGTTAAATTCAGCTTCTTCGCTTCAGGGCAATCGATGAGCGAAATCATCGCTTATAGTTAAACATACGCAAATCGAACAATAGATCTATTCGACAAGGAATGGACATATGAATCGTTTTGTTTGTTATGTTGTTAGAAGTTCTTCTTATCACTTTTTGAAAAATCGCTTTTCTCTTTAATTACTGGACCAATCGTTTTGACATTTTCAGTGGTTAAAGACTATATTTTCGCTAGAAGGCTATTACTTTTATTTATTGCAAAAATTTCTGTGGACTCTGAGAGATTCGTTTTTCGTGTGCGAAACGTCATAAAAAATTAAAAATAGCCCAGACACGAGGAAACAGACGTGTCTCAAATATTACTTTAAACTGTATTGAATAGTTTCTGTATACCTCTTATATCCACAGTGATGGCATCTGCTGTTGGAAGCCAAGGAGCTAGTGCAACGATGTTGGTAAGTCGATTATACAGGTGTTGGTTTATCTTCCTTAGTATTTTAAAATTAACAACTGCGTATACATTAAATAACAGAAATTAAAGGCGGACCTCATGTTTTTGGAATTATTAAAAGTTGCTATTGACCAAAAAATGGGTGAAACAGGGTCTTCGGCGTCTTCCAGATCAGAATCTGGATCAAGTACGCATAATTCAACAGCTATTTCACACCCATGGACTAGAAAAGACGTTTTAGGAAAAGGAGCATTTGGCACAGTATATTCAGCAGTCGATAACAATGGACTGAAATTTGCTGTGAAGGAAGTTCCGAGGGACGGGGTAAGGGATAAAATGATTTAATACATTTGCTCTCCACAAGCAGTAGTCTGGTTTACATTTGTGTTGTCACTTAAATCGGCCATTAATTTTCACAATATACACGAATGCTTAGGTGCAAGAAAGCTGCCTAAGGAATGAGGTCAAGTTGTTGGGAAAACTATCGCACAAAAATGTAGTTAAATTGTACGGCTGTGCTGGTGATAAAGAAAATTTTTTCATGTACATGGAGCTTATGCAGGTATATTTGTATTCAACAAATATTAATTATGTTTAGTGAGTTGTAGAGAGAAGATAGGCCCTACTCTGTCTGTTTTTCTCCAGTACTATTAAACGTACTTTAGCGGAGTACACTCCAGCTGAACTCCTTCACTGGTCAATGAGCACACGATAGATTGTAAATGCTAAATGTTCGTATATTGCAGCGTTGTACGATCGACTTTTAAATCCAAATACACATATATTAAAATATACAGTTAAAATCCAAATCAGTAATGCAACAAAGAAAACATGCTAAACTCTATATTCTCAATTATGAAACAGAGGCCAGAAACACGTCATTGATCACTCGGTACACAGAGAACTGCCTAAGGCCTCACCCCGATGAATCGCCATCAAGGAAATAGGAAAAAATGACCTATTTTCATTGAATTCAACATGCTATTAATTCAAAGGGGTAAATGACATTATGTTCGAGTTCCTGCTAATCTTCAACTTTGAGCCGCGACACTGCACTTCCGAGTTAAAAGTCACGTTTCACTCAAGTGGCAAGTCACAACAAATTCCAAAATTCGAAGGTTTAATAAATTGGGCGAGTCATTTCACTCCCGAGTAACAAGTCAAGTTGAGTCGCTACTGTTTCGAGTCACTACTTCAGAGCGAATCGTTGTAGATTACATAGCACTAATGAGCATGATATTATGAGTTGCATTGGCAAAATATTCACATCTTGATATTTAAAATGATTACTCCAACTATTTCCGTTCGTAAAACAGGGATCCGTAAAGGAGAAAATAGAAAAAAGCGGCATGCCTATACCGGAAAGTATAGCAAAGAAATATACCAAAGATCTATTGCAAGGACTGATCTATCTTCACCAGAACGACGTTATTCATCGTGATATCAAATGCGCAAATTTGCTGTTGGATGTTCAGGGAACAGTGAAATTGGGTAAATGTTATTATCTCTAATAGTTTGTTTTGGAATCAGATATTTTTGATGAGGATTCGCAGTTAGAAAAGTCTCCAGTATAGTAAATAACATTGGCAAAAAAGAAAAGTTGGAGCGACTAGGACTGAAATGCGAAAAAGTTACTGAACCATACAGAAATATGTTGATGCAATACATGCCAGCAATCTATATTTTTCTCTAATTGCTCAATGGTTATACAGGTCAAGTTTCAACATATTACAGCATGTTTAACACAAGTCTAGATACAAAAAAAAATCACGTAATGTTTCTTTTCAGCGGATATGGGGATTTCTAAAATTCACAAACATGAGACAGCGTTTACAACTGCAGACGACACCGCAGGTATTGAAAGTATCTATATGTACATTGCGAGTTTGAGTTTGTAGAAATAACTAAGTTTAAACCATATCTCGCGCGGGTGAAGTAAAAGTGGCATAAACAAACTATTTTAACATTAGCTCTCTTGGGGATTGTGGTCACCAGAGCAGAAATTTGCCTTTTTGTAGTTTTCCGGCAATCACTCACCGTTAACGTGGGTATTTTTATTAATAGGAATTTTTTTCGGTACTTTTGAATATTTTTAACATGGTAAGCATCTTGATAAATTTTTCTTTAAATTTTAGTGGACATAGTGTTTCTAATTAGGTTTCTCCCATTAAACCATGGTATTCAGACTGTGGCCGTGTCGTCTGGTCCTGTTCTGAGGTTGCTTTTTCTGCGATAGCGGTAATATGAGTTAGTATATAAAATACAGGTAATTAAAATGACATGGAAGAATACGTCAGCTCTTTGTATTAGAAGAGAATGTGTAAAACTAGTGAACAAACGTTAATGAAACGGAATAAACTTTTCTACCGGCTAGCCTTCATTAAATACTAATACCGTCAATAAAAATACCCACGTTAACGATGAATAATAACCCGAAACGTACAAATAATGCAAAATTCTGATATAGTGAATACATTCCATATAAGACCTAGGGTTACAATTGTTTTGTTTATGTCACCTTAACTTTTCCCGCGTAGGAAGGGTTTAAAATGACTGAAGCCTATTATTACTATTATCATGACTTTATTTGCAAACAGTTTTGGTTGACTGAAAAGACTTATTTTATGCGTTGAAGGAACTGTGCCGTGGATGAGTCCTGAGGTATTGAGTGGACACGAAGGGCGGGAACGATCCGATGTTTGGTAAGTTTTTGATGTTTAATTATAATTTTCTTCAAACATTCTATTTCCAAATTTATTTACAATATTTTTTATTTACAGTAGTGACATATACCGATGACCCGCGGCTCCAGTGCAATTCTAACTATGCAACCCCCCAATCCTAACCATGGCCAGATATCATATAAATTAGGCTTGCACGTAATTTACGGATTTACGGAATTACGGAATTATTTCGAGTTACGGAAGCGAAGTTACGAATTACGTAAGGTCGTAATTATTGGTCGAGCGCTTTTGCGATTGAAACGAGCTCTCTTCAGAGCAGTCAATTCGGTCGATTGTAAAAAATTAAGTTCAAGTAGAAGAAGTTAGAGTTCCGATATTCGCAGCCGTTTTTCTCTCTCTTGTTACGCAGATGGGGAAGGCATAACGCGTCACTTACTAACATATTATCAACTTATCTAGCATGGCCAATGTACATACTAACCGTAGATAAGGGATAGAATTGCGTTGAGACCGATGGACGCCAACACACCTGGTTTCAACTTCTTCGGGTGAAATGACTAAAGAATGTAAGAGATCAACTTGTAAAACATGGTCTATTTGTAAATGCCGTGATAATTAATGTCGCGCTTATCAAACAGCAATATAAAGACGGAAGAGAAATTGCGTAATGAACCAACGCAACTTAGTCTTTTCGGCATCGGTAAAGCGATTGAGACGGCAGAGAAACAACAATACGACGGGATTTCCCGTGTTTATTCTTCGCGAGATCCATTTTCTATTACAAAACCTTGATGTTCTGTTACCGATTTTATCGTTACTTACCGGACTTGGCATTGCTCAATATGTTTTTAACAATGCCTCGCAATATGTCGGCCAAATATGATTACCTGTCTTTACCAAATGCGGCAACTTATTTTGATTTACCGTCGACTCGAATACCACCGGCACTCGACCAAACTTGTGTCAATCTTGGCAAATAGGATTGTCGACTTGAGTTAGAAAAATAAATTAATATTTTCATGAGTGCAAAATAAATGTCACAAAATGCATTGTTTTGCGATATAACTTTGTATTTTCGGAGAAGGCATGTCATATAAGTACGGTATTTTAAATTATGCACAAATAATTGATATTTGATCTAAATTTATCGCAAATAATGTTATAACATTTAGGCCGCGAAATGATTTAATGTAAAATGAAGCATGGAAATCGGAATATCGTCAATAAGTCGGCATCAATAATTATTATAAAATGCTAACTAAGTAGTAAAGTCGGATATTGTAAAAAAGGAGAAATAACAAGTCTTCGTCGCGAGGCAAACGCAAGTATAATCAAACGAGAGAATACGCTTTTAGTTGATTAATAAATTGGCAACCCGGAATTTTTATTTAATACGAAAGTCGTATTAATACGTTGATACAATTTTAAAGAGTCAACTATCGTTTCATAAATATATTACCAGTGTTGGTAATGATATAATTGATCGCATAAAATTTGGTGATAAAGTTGATAGAGGAAAATCAAAGCTAATACAAAATCTGATAAAAATCAGAATAAAATTATTTTAAATTCACTCCTTGATATTTGTCTTTAACATCTGTCGCCGGCGTGTAGTACTGCCGGGAATATGAAAACCAAACTTCGATGTCCCATTCGGAATAGGAGTGGATTAAATTGGTTGTTATGATAGGTTTAAATGTGTGAAAAGATATCGCAATTACGGGGTCATTACGTAATCGATTTGGCCGTAATTACGGAATTGATTTTTGTCAATTACGTGCAAGCCTAATATAAATCAACATGTATTTATATATTATTATTTTTTAACAACTCCCAAGAAGACGAACGTAAAACAAAATCACAAATCAACTCGTCTTTTGGTCGGAAAAGTCCGTGGGTCGAAAAGTCTCAAAACCATATACACTTTGTTCCAGATACTACCCTCAGTTTGTCAATATACTGTACGTTTCTTTATATATGAATCCAGAGTCTACATGAATCCTGTGAACTCGGGTCTCGTCAGATATTTGGTGATAGTTCTGACAGAGGTGATAACCTCAGAAACATAGTTTAGCAAAACCTGGTGTATGCCATGCTCTTTTATTGCAGGAGCGTTGGCTGCACTGTTTTTGAAATGGTCAAAGGAGCAGCACCTTTTCAAGAAGAATTACCACCTGTACTATTGGCAATTATATTGCCGAGAATGATTCTTGGATTTGGGCACCAAAAACTCGTATCGGATCAAACTGACTTTGGTCCAGCATTACAGGTGAATTCTACATTTTGAAGCATATTTTAATAGCAATTTCATCATGCGTTCGACGTTTTAACGAAGACAGTGAATATTCAATAGATTAAAACTAACAAGAAATGACGTCAAATTAGTGATAGTTTAGTCTATTATATATTTTAACGAAGTGAAAGTGCTTATTATTTGTTTATAATGAATTTGAGTTTCCATAATTAGTATATTGATATTAGATTGGAAAACTGAATAACTTTTTTTCTCTTTCTTCCCCCTTCTCTTTCTCTAACCGAGGGAAACATAGCTCTAGCTAGCTATTCAGTATGCACTCGCTCTCTCACTCTTTAAGATATATACATATAAATATATATATAGCTATGCACTATGGTGTGTGTAAGCGTTTCAGGGGTATTCAAAAATTGGGCACTAAACCTGGACAACGCGGAAATACAATAATTAACATTGACAAAAAAATGTTATATCTGAATTCCAGAAGTGGACACGGAAAAGATTCATTTTTTTTTAAAACTGATAATGTTTGGAAATCCCTTTATTTACTAGCTCGGCATAGAAACTATAATGTCTGTAGTTCATTTCATTGAAGTTTAAAATTTACTTTTCCGGGTATACGCTCTGTGCCAATTAATTATTGTGAAAAAATACCAAGGCGGTATCGGTATATTCAGGGAATTTATTTACATTAACAAAATTTATAGTCAAATTAAACAAAACATTCTATTTATTCTATTCTATCAGAATTTTCTTCTGAGAATTTTTGTCAAGATGGACGACCGACCATTTGCTGAGCAGATTGCAGATCATCCATGGGCAAGATAGGCCGAAAAAAAGTGATTTAATCAAAATCAGAAAAATGATCAGAGTTGAGATGCGTTAAATTTAAATACTGGTTGTCTTTATTCTTACATTGGTAATATACATAACATATTATTATACTAATTGATCATTATAATTTACGCTACCGTGTTAATAATAACGGAATGCATATCTTTTGTACATCGATGAGACATATTAAAATTTAATTATTTTATCTCTTTTTGTGAAAATCATGTTTCAGTTAAAATCAATATATATTAAAGCGTTTATTTTGTGCGCTGTATTGCTGTATTAAATTGCCACCGCCACATACATCATATTTTATAATGTGGTTGTGGTGTAAAACAATCAACTTTAATTGAAGAATTAATATGTATTTTGAAGTATATCAAAAATATATAATTTGTAATTGAAAGCAAGAAAGTAATGGTACTTCCCATCAGGCCGCGGTATGGCACTGATGCCACGATAATATTCTATCACAGTCCAAAGTTAACGTTGCTATATTGGTAGCTGTTCCTTGTGTTGTTTTCATGATCGTTCAACTTTAACTACTAAATTCATTAATTTTTGCAACTTGTTGAATATTTTTGGAATATTCTTACTATTCATTACCCTCAGAGTTACGTCGTAATATTTTATTTTTATTCCAATGCCAAACAAGTTCACTTATGTCGGCGTTAATCTAGCCCTTTGCTAATTAAATAAAACGAATGTTATTATCATTCGAACTTAGAAGGTCAAGAACCTGGTAGTCTCAACAAAGCTTATAAAAAATCTAGATGTTATACTGTATTCGGAAAATATTGGATATTTATGATATTCCCTGTGATTTTTTGGACTTACTTACGTCACATCCTATTTCATGCTAATGCTATCTTCAATTGCCGTGTAAAGTTCATCCAATTCAATTTTGTCTCTTAATATCAATATCCTATATTTCAAGTATATATTTTTTCGGCGTATTCTTTTTTATAGGTAATCGTGTATTGTTCTTCGCGCATTAGGCAACATTTTATGATTTCCTTTGCTGAAATTTTACCTTGTAAGCCTGCGTATAACTTTTATTCCTACGGGGTTTACAGGATCATCATTTTTTTTTAGTTCAAAGAGATTTTTATTATTCTTCCAAGTAAGTTTTATCTTCGTATATTATTTGTTGAATGTATCCTATTCAGAAATAAATTTTAACATAGAAATATGTTTTGATGCATGTGATTCCAGAACAGACATCATAAATGTTCTTGACATAAGTGCAAACAACGAGATATCGATCGGAGACCGCCGACTTATCGATCTAGCGGCGTGTTCCCTTCGTTCTGGCTCAATAGCGACACCGCGTGTTCCATCACTAATTAATTAATACCTCGTTATTCATACGACATAATTCATTCAAAATCAATAGGCTTCGGATCCGAGATATGATGAATGCACATGCAAAATTTGGAGCAGATTCAATTCGCTTTCGTGAGATATCACGTAACATACGAAAGTGTTTAACAGACAGACAAACAAACAGACAAATGCCTATTAACATACGTACCGATCAAGATCGATAAGTAATAAAGTGACGTATTTCACAACGCAGCGCAGCAAGACTGCTAAATCAAATATAAAAATTGTTCTGTTTTTTTTTTCATCATCGAATATGTATATTGGAATTATTTTTTTGATGAATAAAAGCTGGGATGCCTGTTAACACTTTTTTTTATTGTCGCTTCATAAATAAAACGATTAATTACGAAATAATAAGTATCAAAGTATTTTTCGTCAAATCTTCTCCTTCGTTCAATCTCCAGAATGAACATATTCGTAATTTTAGCGTTGTGTCTAGCAACATATGTTGCCCTGCAAGTGATAGCGAATGTAGGCTGCCTGTTACAGATAAAATCGATTTTGCACAGGTAATTTTCAAATACGTTTATATATTTTTTGTGTAAAGAAAATAACAACTACCTAGTTTCTTGAACTTCTTCTATAGTTAGCTGTGGAGTGAATGGTTCAACAATAGCTATATTTGTTTTCAGCGTATTATCTATTGGTGCGTAATGTGCTAAAAGGAAAACGGTGATACTTTCAAGTTATCTCAGTCATACCATTTACTTATTTTGGTAAGCTTATATTCATATTAAATTTTTTATATTATTATTTAATAAGTTCAAGCACTGACATTAGACTCCACAATAGAAAAAGTAAGCTGAACAATATTTAAAAATATAGTTGTGATTTGGTTATTCGGTTTTTCATGTATTGACGTCATGAGTAGTCATAACAATAACGACATTGTGATCTGCAGAAAAATAGCCGTATATTCAAAAGCGCTCCCTTTACAAATTTTTTTTCAATAAACAAAAGAAGCTTCAACCGACGTAATTGGCCACCGCCAAATTATTTGTTGGTATGTAATGAGCGAAAAATATGTGATATTTTGTAACATCACGTGGGACTAATTTAACAATGCCTAAATCAAACATGGAAATTCATTCATTACCATGCAAACATTTCATTCAATGGCTGCTATTGAGCCTGAATGACTCAAGATAGTAATTTGCGTGGTTTATAGTTAAAAACCTTTGTGTGGGCTTTTAGGGGTAAATGAATGTTTGGAAAAGTAGAGAAATTAGGCGAATATTCGAAGTCATTCTATATTACATTCTATCTTGAATGTCTTTGCTCGGAGAACAGATATTGCTGAATGCAAACTATACGTTTAATTTTATTATGAGTCTGAATGCAAATACAATAAATGTTGTTTTCTTTTTAAAACAAATTTTTGCATAATATATTGCTAACAATGTCACATGTCTAGGAAAAAAATTGATAAGAAACCCAGTGAAAACTTCTTATAATGGGACATGAGAATTATTGAACTCTATTCCACGCAAATTCAAACTTGATAATCAATGGATCTGAGATTCTGGCACGCATTATAATCTACTTGACACGAACGGAAGTGCGTTGTGAGATGCGTCACTTTGTTTTTGTGACATATGTCAAGAACACATATGCCTTATTGTTATTCTTATTGTTTGTACTTATGTATAAAAGCCTTGGTATTATTGGACGAGTATAAAACGAATGTTGCTTTGTCCTATCCCATTAGATTTAGCTAAATGCGCCCGGAAAATAAGCACAATTGAGTTAAACATAACTAATATATCATTGAATATTTATTATGAGTAAAATGTTCATTGTGCATATTGTGCATGCATATCATATAATTAAATTTTAATATGTCTCATCTCTGTACAAAAGATATGCATTCTGCTATTATTAACACGGTAGCGTAAATTATAATGATCAATTAGTATAATAATATGTTATGTATATTACCAATGTAAGAATAAAGACAACTAGTATTCAATTAATTTACGGGAAGAATTTTTAATAGGAATTCTATCGGAAGAGATATAATTCTTCTATTGCTCAATGCCTTTGTCCAAGTGTATCCGTATGTTAATAATGAAATATGCTGTAGCAAGAATAAAGATGGCTATTCTATTTAATTCGAGACCGTGAGGCCAGACGTAACGATACAGAAACAAATTTGCGTTAGTGAGCAGAGAGATTCTTGAATCAAATAAAAACAATCTTTCTGATTTATTTTTCCTTATGGAATATATTGAAATTATTTGATTGATGAATCATAAATAGCTGGGTTGCCTCTTAGCACTGTTTTATTGTCGTTTTAAAAATAAAACGATTAATTCTATGAAATATTAAGTATCAAAAGTATTTGTCGTCAGATCTTCACCTTCTTTCAATCTCCAGAATGAATATTGTCGTAATTTTAGCATTGTGTTTAGCAACATATGTCGCAGAAGCTGAATCCCATGCGATTGATAGCGAATGTAGGCTGCCTGTTACAAATAAAATCGATTTTGCACAGGTAATTTTATATACGTTTATACATTTTTTGTGTAAAGAGAATAACAACTACCTAGTTTCTTAAACTTCTTCTACAGTTAGCTGTGGAGTGAATGGTTTACCAAAGGCTGTATCTGTTTTCAGCGTATTATCTATTGGTGCGTAATTTGCAAGAACAAATACGGTGATATTTCAGGTTATCTCAGAAAAGTAGAATAAAAGCCACGAAATAGAAAAATATTGATATAGACCTTTGCTGAGACGTATTCTCAAAAACCAATTCAATATAGAAAGAAACAGTCCTACTTTGAAACTAGTCTTAAGACAAAGATTTCTTCGTAGATATTCGATACTATTGAATTGCTAATAACATATACGAAAAAAACAGGCATATGCTTTGATAAACTTTATATTACCTTTCCAGCTTCGAGAAAAGAACTGGTACACTACGTCACATAATAAATACAGCAGGTCCAGAACAGATGTCTGTATTGTTATTTCTGATGTAGAAGAAACGAACGGAGGATTGGAATTTCAATATGAAATGTTCAAGTAAGATAATATGCTATTTATTTTACCCAAAATAGTAATTACTAAATTAACAGCAACCAAATAAACTAAAAGTATAAATCTAAATTTGTTTAATTGTTGGCTTTACTTTGTCTCAGGAACTTTCCTTGATATACCCTTATTTCTGCTTTGCTACTAAAGGCACGGCTTGTAGGAAACATAAACCAGCCTTACCTGAAATATCCAAATAAATAGTAAACATGTTTGTTTTGTGTGACTCTGTCCACTAAATAACACAAGCAGTTAAATCCGAACTGTAGCTATGAATTAGTATGTGTGATATTTCAGCATGGTATTTGTGAAATTTATGGGATTATTAATAAATCAAATCGCCTTCAATTTCATATTTTAACTGACATATTTTTATTTTTGGGAAATGAAAATTTTCAAGCGTTCTATGCCCCAATATTTTAAGTGGGGTTTGTAACGTGATATACATATACAGCCAATAATATACATATAGCGCCAGCTAAATATGCATATACAGCCTATTTCATATGCTCATCCTACAAAATACTATGGCAATGCGTTTCAAATTAAACACTCTGCTAGGTGTGCAACCATAGTTTCCGTCAAAGTTAATTTGATTAGTTCGTGGACAGTTTATTGCCAATAGCCAAAGAATAGTTCACTGACGAGAGATTTTCAGCCTGCACATTTCTCGTGTTATCAACGATCAGCTGTTGTGGAGTATTGTGTTATTATAGATTGGTACCTATTGTATAGTTATCATGACTACGCATACTGGCTGTTTTAAGTCTTATTGTGCGCAATTAACATGTAAGGCTTTACACCTGAATGCTAATACCGTTTCGGTTACAAGCCGCAATGGAATTTTTTTACGCTTTTCGATGCACTAATTATATGAACGACCAGCAGTTGTGAGGTATAATGTTCGATTGTGACTTTCTATATATCTGTCCATCTGCTCGGATCTGCGGATATTTCATGTATCGTAATGTGCATATAACTCGTAGATGCAACCACATTTACATACAATATATTCTTATGAAATGATCTGGCAGTATTTGTACATCACCTAAATAGCTGTATTTGTATATTGAATTGGCTATATATAATGCATATGGCTTTGGCAGTCTGTGTATATTTGGTTGGCTGTGTATGTATATGACTTGGCGGTATATGCATATTCTTGGCAGTATATGTATGGCATGTTACCAATCCTATCGAATAATTTTGATTTTATAAATTACTTTATTTTCTGCCATAGCAATTCTGGAATTGTGAAAAATTTTAAAATACATACCACGCTCCAACCTTCAAGAAAATACACTTGGGAACCAGCATCGGGTAAGGCAACGCATTCGTGAATGTAAAATAAGATGTTGATCTATTTTCTTTAAAAAAAGGTGTACAGCCTTAGAAAGTAGTGCAGACATGTTCTACCCGAATTTCTTCTCGAAGCCTATCAAAAACAAAACTAATTTTCTGAGTTGATAAGTATTTAATCTTCATCACTTGGCTTCGGAGTAATTGGACACGTCAGTGTACATAACAATCATTTCAATATTATGTTGTTGTTCTTGTTAGTATTATTCTCTCTTTCGTCATGATAAAATTGCTTTTCTTTTCAAATACTGGACTAATTAATTTGGAATTTTCAGTGATTGAGGATTGATTTTTTTGCAAGAAGGCTATTACTTTTACTTATTTCAAAAATTTCAGTGGACTTCAACAGATTCGTTTTTTATGTGTCAGAATAAAAAAAAATAGCGACACCTTGTGACGTGTCCATATATTTGAGCACAGCTCTCTTTTTTATTTTAGGTTAAATAAATGAAGATTATTTTAGTTAGAGATGAAATTTCATTTCCGACTCAAAACGTGTACAAATTTCTAATTTACACTCCTGATATGAGCTTAGTAAAAATTAAAATTTCGACTTCTGAGATCGTTAAATTTGACCGCGACAAACTTAAGACTCTAGTACCTGGGGCAGACCCCGGTGAATCCAATCACATCCGACAGAGTAAAATACTTGTTTATGGCGTTAGCTTTAACGATATTTTATTTGTTTCTACTTGAAAAACCTCTAACATATAGAATAAAGAGAATTAAAAGGCTTTAAATTCGCACATACCACAGAAACTGGAAAAGACCCATTTTCACCTACCGATGCCGAGACTGAGATGGAAAAGGAAAGGGACCATATGGGTAATCCATAAATGTTTTCAGTATGCAATGTCTAAATCGTGAATACTCAATTCGTTTTAAATATTCTTGTACTAAATCTACATGTAGTCTTCGAATTACAGATTTGACACCGTAACTATAATGCAAACTATATTGCACAATTCGAAAATCCGTTTAGGGCAGCAATAGAGGATCTCAATGTTAACATTTATTGTAAATGTATTGTTCTGGTTATTCATGTTTGTACGTTAAAGCCATTAATTCGAACGCTGAGGCAGTTCGAATTAGTAAACAAGGGTTTGCGTACAGAATAACGGAAAATCGCAAATTTATTTAGAGTGGAGTTCTGACTACATGAAACCGCATAATTATCTGACTGATTACAAAACATACTTATTTGAACTTCAGTGCGATATCAAAGGTAAGAATATGTTTTATAAAGCAACGAGAATAAAAAAGAACACGTCAATTTGACAGTAAGATGGTCGGAGGCGAAGTGAGTGAATACCAGGGCTTTAGGTGAATGTTTAACAAGTTTGATTTCTAATCTTATACAGGTAAACAGAACGTTTGGATTCATACCCCAACTCAATATCCTACGGCTGATGACAATATTCGTATTTATAACCGTTTGTTGGATGTCGGATTTAGATCGAATGATATTTATTTAGTGTCTTTGTCGTGTGCTGTAATGCAGCCCATTAACATCAACTTACACGTCTAAATATATATCTAGGCTTATATATAGAAGCAACTATCAGTGTCATCGTGGAAGCATTAGGAAATTTAAAGATATTTTCTCTAGTTTTATATCACATGGTAAATGGAAATTACAGTGAAGTAGTAAAAGCTTATGCATTTATTCGAGAATCATATTTTGTTGGTATGGCATAACAATTCACGCCATCGCGGAATTTTTAATTAATATGTAAAAAGAAAAGACATGATGAAATTTATTTAGTGTCAGTTAAAGAAAACATCAATCTAATGCCCTTGTAAATTTAATATTATGTTGTAGTCTTAAACGATTTCTTGATCCGAACATAAACAAAGTATGTACCAAAAACACGTTCAACTGTATTTCTAAAGTAGCAACTTGAATGAAACACTACAGAACGATGCTCAAATATATGACCGAGAGGATCAAAGCAGAGCAATAGTCTACCTTACCTTTTACTGTACCGGCAATGTCAAAAAACTTCCGCTTCCGCGTAGCGACAGGGTAAGACAAGAGAGGTCAAAGGACCGCTTAGTTAGTATTAAATTTCAAGCGATTATCACACAAAGTTTCGAAGTGAAAAACGAATCACATAGAGCCCACAATTCTGAAATAAATAAAATTAATAGCCTTCTATCGAAAAATACAATCTTTAATCTGAAAATTCCCAGCAATTAATCCAATAGCTAACGAGAAAAGCGATTTTTTTCATACGGTAACAACAAGAAGAAAAATACCAACAAAAACAACAGCATAACAACAAAACGATCCATAGATCCATTTCGTGTCCAATATTTAAATACTCACGAGTATGGTGGATGATAAAAACGTTGCGTACAAGGTATACCGGGACATTTTTTCCGGAGTTGGACTTATATTTCGACCGAACTAATAGTTTCATGGTATCTGAATAATGTGGGAAACAAAAAAACTTTCAGATTTAAGGTATACCGTACCAATTTTTCCAAAAACTCAATTTTCTCAATTTTTCCAAATTTCAATATAATTGAATCTATGCCCGAAAAATGAAAAAGATAATATTTGAATCGTTTCTTAATCTGTACCAAAAGATATATATTTTGATTCTCTTATTATTTTGTAGGTTACATATGATTGTGAACGTTGAACGCAAATGCTATACTCATTTTCTGCACGGAAATAAAGCATCAGAAACGTTTTTAATTTTATCATCGAGCAAAAAAAAAATACTTGATTGATGAATACTTGGGTTGCCTCTTAACATTGTTTAATTTATTATCACTTTTAAAATATAAAAAAAAACGTTTAATTCTACGAATTCTACTAGGTACAGTAAGTTACTTTAAAAGATATAGTACTGTCAATGGTTTGTAACTACAATTAATTTTGAGTAGAACCATATAGCATTTTAATTTACGTTGGAAAAAAAGAAAGAATCTTCATTGTTACAAGACCTGGTAAAGTTTGGAACAGGTCCGGTAACAAATCTGGTTCAAAACTAGTATTAAAGCAAAGATTACGTCTTGCAAAGCCAATACAATTGAGGTTGCTTTCCTTGCATATATAAATGATTAATAACATCAGGCTTCTGCACAAGTCGT